TAAATCGGCTTGGTAGCACAAAACAATGAGACCAGCCGAGGTAATTCGAGTAAACGTCGTTTGGGAGCGTAAGTAGTGAGTTGATGATGTCGCAGGGAGGAGAGGATGTTCAAGATGTTTTCTTTTACTTTAGAAGCGGTAATGGAAGGGGGGGCTTTTTTGCGATGGTCAAGGTATTGGACAGGAGTGGGAAGGGGGGGAAGATGTAAGGTTGGGGGGAGACGTGGGAAGCAGAAGGCCCGGACGTGGTATTGGTTTTGACGAGCGAGAGGCACAAGAACCGAAGAACAAGGTGCCTGGGTGCAGGGCAGGGCAGGCCGAGTGCAGGCGGGTGCAGAGGAAGGGAGGCAAGGGAGGGATCGGCTGGTCTCCCCGCTTTTGGTGAGTGGGCGGACCAATGAAGGAGAGCGGCTGCTACAGTGCTTGACAGTGGGGGAACTGTGACCCCACAGCTTGACGCCATTTGCGCATTCGCCACTTGGACATTATTGGATGCCGGGATCACTACTAGGCCGCTCCCAGCTTAGCGCTCTCACCAGATTGAGCGCATGGGCGGTCCTGCGGTGTTGCGGTGTCGCCGGACAGTGCGGGAGTGACGCTTGCGGCCTGCAGGCTGAGATGAGGCCCCTGTCTCCGCTACCAGCCCTTCCACCCTCACAGTGTCCACTGAAAGCATCGGTCCCTCCCCCCTCCTGGTTCTCCTTCGTCAGTGAGTTCCTGTCCGCACTGCGCTACGGACGCTGCGCTGCCCTCGTCCAGTGTTTGGTATCTATCCATCTTCTTTGTTCATTTTTGGCTCGAGGCCTCTTCATGTCCCTGAACAGTGTCCGTCGTGAGCCGTGCACAGGGGGGCTGAATGGGGTCTCCAGATTTACACGATCAACTGACCAAGTGGAACCACAAGGACGCCTTGCTCTGTATCCATGTACGTGGTATGGATGGCTTCAATGCGTCAACCGCCACTGGGAGATACCTATGCCTCCCTATTCTATCGCACCTAGCCAAGGCACCTAATGTACTGCGGCGCAACGGCAGGCAGGCCGACGCCTGAAGTGGGCAGACAGGCAAAGAAAGGCAGTGACTGACACTGGCACTTTGGAGGATCCGTACGCAGTCGTGTGATTCATAGTGGATTCCAGCCTGCCGCTGCTTACGATCCCATCTGTACCTGCACCATGCCAGGGCCCAACAGCATCCGAAAGCACCAGGTGTGGGTGGCATGTTGCGTGAGTTACAGTACATGGTACCATGTAGCCAGGCAGGCATTCATTTTACTTCACTCGTCGCGCTTCAACGCTTCACAGTGAGAAGCCCGTTTCGCTTGCACCCGCATCCAATCCCATCCTGTTCAGGGGGACGAAAACAATAAGCCCTGGCCTGCCCTGGCCTGCCCTGAGAAGTCGGGGCGAGGCGCCCTTAGCGGAAACTATGCGTGTTTCTCATTCCATGCGACATGCGACGGCCTTGCCTGGCCGCCCACAGTGTCACCTTGGATGTCTCGGATTGGCACCACAGTTGACCCCCCAAAGCCCACCGACCTGGAAGACCCCCTGCAGGGACAGACACCTGGTATGTCAGGCCGCCATGTGCCCATCGCTCTTGCCTCTCACGAATGATTGTGGGGTGATTTGTGCAACCCACGATCCACTCACTCCTGCTCAACCCAGGTTGCACAAGACGAGACGGGCAGGAAGAAGGCATCAATGCATCTATCGAGGCGGGACGAGCCAATACATTACAAGTTGACGTGAGGTGAGGTGAGGTGAGGCGAGGCAAGACGACACGGCAAAGCTGGATTGTGGAGTGTCCTTACCTTGGGCCCGCCTTCCTGCCAGTTTGTTATTATTCCCCCCTCGCCTGCCACTGCTCGGCTTTGTTAGGAATCACAGCCCAAAGTCAACATTCGCGACTGAGACTACGTGTTTTGTTAAGCTGTTGACCCAAGACGAAGGAGAAGAGAGGGCCGCATCGACGAAATGGGCCGTGTCGAATACCCAGGCTACACAGTGAAGAGACCTGGAGATTCTCGCGCTTGGCCCTCCAGTCCGTCGTGGTCGACCAAGGCCTGGATTGGCACACAGAATAGGCTCGCCAGCCGCCACGTTTCCAACCAACTCGCCTGACCCTAGGATGCATCCCTCTGTCACTGTGTGAGGTCGAAGCAGCTCCAATCTGCAGGTCGACTTGTTGATGTGTGTGGGATCAACCGGGACACGCCGGCTAGCTACCAGCACAACCCTCCCAGGGGCCGGGAGGTGGGGGGAGGCGAGCTGGAGGGGGGAACACACAAGCACGAACACACCAGTCCGACAGCGACAAGCGTCATCCACAAGCGCTGGCACTCGACGCTCAAAGCCAAATGCCTTGTGGTTCTGGGGGGGGCAGAGTCCTTGTGGAACGCCCGTTGACCGCGAATGAGGAGTCGGCTGTCTCGCCTTGGCTGATCTAAGTGGCCAATTGATAGACATGCCCATGATGGAAACGGCTGCGGCGGGAAGCGTTGGTCTCGTCTGCCGTCTTCGTGCGACAGCAACTGCCACCTAGGCCGTCAGTCATCCATCAGTCGCTGGCGGGCTGGCGGTTCGACGCTTCGGGCTCGCCAGATTGCTCGCCCTTGTCATGCTGGACCTTTGTGGCAGCGCCGTTGTCACCAACCTCCCAGTCCATCCTCAGCCCTTGCCCTCCCGAATGGGGGTTCCGATTTCAGAACCAAGGAAAGACCCTGGACCCTCGATCTGGCCCTCCTGCTGCTGTCACCGTCCACCACCCACCAGCCGACCCTTGTGCCCCCCTCTCTCGACCTTCCCCTCTCCAGGCTCTTCCGCCATGCGAGCCGGGGGTGGCTTTAAGACTGTGAGACCTGGCTGGCTTCTTTCCTTCTTCCTGTCGAGCACGCAGCGACCTGAAGAGTTCGGGAGAAAGACTCTCGCGTGCCAATGTCGTCAGCATCTGCATTTTTGGCACCTAGCCATCCAAACACCCTGCAGGCCTACCCAGCTCAGGTCCCTTGTCAAAGTCGACATGGAGAACAGCCTGAGTTGTCGAGCATCAACTGACGACAAGTGCGGGGCAGAGGGGTCAGGGACAGCAGGGGCGCCAAAGGGCCCCTGGAGGTGGACGATGCTATTTCTGATGTGCCCAACCACGCCTCCGACCATTTACCAGAAACAGGCCTGGCTGGGTTCCTGGAAACGCGAATGGCACCTAAAAGAAATGCGTCTTTCCAACTCTGCATCTGTCACTTGCGCAAGAAGCATCTCGAAGAACCCGAGTGACGATTGCTGCCCCTTCAGGACACACCATTGTCTTAGGTCCGCCTTGTTCGTTGATAGGAACGCCCGCTGTATGCATGTCCCGTCGTCGAGGATGCATCCGTAGTCGACGGAGAGAACTGGACCACCCTCGACGACGAAGATAAGACGAAGTTGGAGGGGTGGAGAAACCCTGGCTGCTGCCATTGAGAGGATAGTAGGGGGAGCCATCTTCATCCAACACCTCGTTGACGCCGCCCTTCACCATTTGTGGTTTGCTACCCTTGTCCGCCAGCCACCCTCCGACCTCCTCGGCCACCACCAACCGTCACAGTGCCGAATGGAAAGAACCCCATCGCCCGCTCCCAACTTTTCCCCGACGACAAGGCGGTTTGGGTGGTCAGGCGGTGTGCCTCTTGCGCCAAGGTTCAGTGGCCAGGGCTCTTGTAGCTCTGATGGGCTCACAGCGCACCCTGTGGGCTGAGCACTCTGACCTTGCTGGTACATGGTACTCCTCCACTCCGCAGCCTACGAACGATTCGGTCTCAACACTTGTCGCACTGCCACACCGCCATTCTGGGAGCGCCCCCGATCAGATCGTGCATCGCACTCTTCTGGCGAATGCCGTTGCTGCTGCGCAAATTTGCTACGGCAATTCGATGGCCGGGGCATGGCAATTACAGGCAGTGCAGTGGTGAGTGCAGTGGTGCTAAAAGTACATCTGTACACGCAGGAGGCTTGGGCATGCTCGACGGCCCGCCTGGGCTGCCCTGCATGCTGTAAGTGGGTGAGCCTGTACCAAGTCAACAGGTGCAGAATCTTCCCGTTGTCCTTGATGCTGCAAGTTGATTCCCTTTTTCGGGCTATTCTGACGGACGGCGGCGTTGCACATGCGGCGGCAGACGCGGCTGCGAGTTTGCGGCTCAACCATGAATGCCCCTCTATGGTCTCTCAGCGTAGGCTTCTTAGAAACAAGGAGCTCTCGGAGGTGGACGGATGAGGTTGACTTCGGACGACAGCTTCATCTCCCCCTGTTTCCAAGCGGCGACGCCGTCATAGCCATAGATGCGGCCGGCCATTCGCAGCATCTGCCCTGCTTGGATGAGACGTGCGACCGAACGATTTGATCCGGATATTGCTCCCCCAACTTTCACCGGGCCAGTTGCGACAGTGAAGATAAATGAAGCTTTTTGAAACAGCATCGCTCACCAAAGCTAAAATGATGGCGAACCGCGTCGCACGCACAGCACATCTGGCAGGAGTATCTGCTTGATCCATGGCTAGTCACCACCTTGCTACTATGGCCGCGGACATGACGATTCAATCATGTGTTGGCAGTCGGCGTCGCTGCCAGCCTGGTCGGTGTGATCAAGATCTCTTCATTCAGCGACCTGACCATGACCCAGTCTCACCCTTCAAGCCGGCACGAGGGTGACTTGGTTGACATTCTCCTGATTAGGCCGCGTCGAGTATCATCCGATACGGATCTCTTATCTATCCTCGCCCTCGTTGACGGGAAGTCGTTGGGAGATAATGGGTTACACAGCTCGCCGTATTGCTTGGGCGCACCTTCAACCACATGTCCTTCATATCAATATCAGATCCCCCCTCTGTCTACTCCAGCCCGGATCAGGTTTGCATCTTGTTTTCTATATTGCCCTCCCCTCCCACCTTTTTTTCAAATTGTTTGAGGCTGGCAAGCGGGATGAACGGCTAGTTATAACGGCCCGGCGGATATCCATGTGGACCCGGCGCCGACGGACGACCCTTGCCGGCTTTCAACCTCGGCCTTTGGGTCAGCCGCTGCAATAGACTTGAACTTACCCTCACGATATTTGGCACGCCTCCACATCGAGCCCCTTCAACATTGACAGCTTCCATGATGAAGGATCATCTGCCCTCCCGCCTGCTCGCCCCCGTGGTGGCCGTTACCGCTGTCGGCCTCACCACTTACCTCTATCTTCGCCCAGCCCTCATCCGTGACCCGTCCGCGACGAAGCCTCCCGCGCCGGCCCGGTCGCCGAGATGGACCGTTCTCCCATCCCTCTCAGCCCTGCAGCGAGATGAGCTGCCGTACCCACCAGATCTGCTCCCCGGCGGCCGCGACGTCGAAACGCCCTACGGCTCACTGCGCGTGTACGAATGGGGCCCTGACGCGGGCGAGAAGGTGCTCCTCCTCCACGGCATCGGGACGCCGTGCATCGCGCTCGGCGAGATGGCGCGGGCGCTCGCCGACGCCGGTCACCGCGTCATGCTCTTTGATTTTTTCGGGCGTGGCTACTCCGATAGCCCGACCGATGTGCCGCACGACGCGCGTCTCTACAACACGAAGCTACACCTCGCCCTCGCCTCGTCGCCGCTGCCCTGGTCGGGCGCCGACGCCTTCCACCTTGTCGGCTACTCACTCGGTGGCGCCATCGCCGCCTCTTTCGCACGCCACGTGCCGCACGCCCTGCGCTCGCTCGTCCTCGTCGCCCCCGCTGGCCTCGTCCGCCCGCGCCACGTCTCCCGCACCAGCCGCCTGCTGTACTCGACCGGCCTGCTCCCCGAGCCGCTGCTGCGCTGGCTCGTGCGCCGCCGCCTGGAGCCGCCGGCCCCCGTCGACCCCGAGGCCGTCCTCGACGATGACGTTGCTGGCGAGAGCGACGCCACGGGCGGGGCGACGTTTGACAATGCGCTGCTCGACCCTGCGCGGCCCGAGCTGACGGTCGCACGGGTCATACGGTGGCAGCTCGCGGTGCATCCGGGGTTCGGGCCGGCGTATCGGAGCACCATCCGGTGGGCGCCCATCTACGGCCAGGACCATGGGGAGTGGGCGCCCCTGAGGGGCATCCTGGAGGAGCGGCGCGCGGGGCGGGAGAAGAACGGGCTCAAGGGGGGCAGGGTGTGCTTTGTGGTGGGCGAGACGGACCCTGTCATCGTGGCCGGTGAGCTCGAGCAGGATGCGAGGCTGGTGCTGGGAGAGGATGCGGTTGATATGAGGGTCGTCAAGGGGGCTGGGCATGAGGTTGGCATCACGGGGGGCAGAGAGGTCGCGGGCATTGTCATGAGGTATTGGCAGTCCATACAGGCTGCGCAGTCATGTTCATGATAAGGAGCTACCTAGACGTATATAAATGTCAAGCCAATTCGCAAACAAGATCAAAATCGTGGATTGCCGTCACAAGACATGTCTGCAAATGGGGCAGGTTCTCATCTACCTAGGCATACACAATGCAGTGGTGCTGAAAGACGAAATGACAAAAAGGATTTCTCCTTCATCGGGTGCCGGCCTCGAACCCGCAGTCCTCCACGCGCTTTCTGGCCTGCGCGCCCTCGCATATAGAGGCATGCGATCTGGGTATTTGCTTAGGGCAACCTCTAGGACCACTACACCATGCGTCACGGTATTTGTGGCCCCTGTTGACAGTGGTGGAAGGGGCGGGGATATATAAATCGTCCGACGCGGGAAGGAGCCCAGGCAGCGCCATGGCAACAGGTAGCCGTGACCTGGGACATGTCACGCTCACATGCTTTCGAGGCGTTGGCCTAGAGTTCAGGGTCATCTCTAGTTCGATTCATGCTGCATTCATACTTCTATCATGTACATCGTCATGTGTTCAGTCGCTGCTTGTAGCCTTTACTACCCGCCAGTTCTACAGGCAGACCGCCACCTCGCCGCTCCGATCCATTCCCTGCCGCGGTTCACCAATGTACCAGCAGTTCAGTCAAGCCCCCTCCCTTCCCCCGGTAAATTCATGCTCCACGCTTGGGGCGCATGCTTGCACACCGCCTCCTCGACCGCTTCTATTTGTCCAAGCCGCGCGCCTTGATGAACCTGTTGAGCTGCTCCCTCGTGAGCTTGTCCTGGTACTGCTCGTGGCACTCGTAAAAGGAAATGAGCTCCTGCGTGCAGTCGACCATGGCCGTAATGTCGACGTTGCTCTCGGCGAGCCACGCGCCGAAGCGCTGCACCCTGCCGATGCGCGCCTCGGGCTGCTTCTCCTTGTCGGCGGGGTTCGGCGTCGTCGGGGCGGCGCCGGGCATCGAGAAGCCGCCGGGCCCGCGGCCGGCCTGGGACTGCGTCAGCGCGGCCGTCGCGGCGGCGATGCCCGACGTCGTCGTCGTCGTCGGCTGGGCCATGCCCGAGGACGGGCGCAGCACGAGGGCCAGCAGGATGGCCGTCAGCGCGACCGTGTGCGGCGGGAACAGCAGCGGCAGGTCGGTCATGTAGTGGTCGTTGATGATGGACCAGGCGAGGGCCGTGTCCTCCTGCGTCAGGGCCAGGTCGCCCTGGAAGGCGGTCAGCGTGCGGTAGGGCTGGTGGACGATGAGCTGCGAGCTCATCTCGCTAATGAGGAAGAACTCGCACTCGCCGAGCTTGGACGTGTCGAGGGAGACAAAGTCGGGCCACAGCGAGCGGGCCTCGCTGACGATGAGGCGGATGTGTTGCGGGCACTCCTCCATTTTACAGGAGAGGTAGACGGCCGTCGCGATGACGAGGTAGACGTTGGTGCGTCGAATCTCAATCTTGGTGTAGAAGCGCTTGATGTAGACCTGGGCCGTGGCCATGGCCTGCTGGCGGACACCTAGACGCTTGCCGAGCCGGTTGATTTCTGGAAGAAACAGGACAGACACGAGTAAGTCAAGGGCCTCGCCAGTAAGAAGAAGCTACGGGGAGAGATGCCGCACAAGGGAAAGACAAACGTTGGTTGAAGTAAATGTTCAGATGGCGCACCTGAGGCAGAGGGAACAGCTGGACGAGCTCGGTGTTCTCGTCCTCGAGCTTCTGGCGCATGGTAGCTAGGCCATCCTTGGTGAACTGCCAGTATCGCCGCTGGGTCGAGTCCCAGAAGTTGGCGGCCATGTCACTGTCACGTCGTGGACATAGTCATTCGACCGTAGCGCCTCTGCTCTCGGTCCGGCGATTCGAGCGGCAGTGTGGATGGGATGGTGTTTGTTGGTTCGAAAGATGATGGGGGTGTTGGTGGAGGCCAGCGGAATCGGACGTTGCAGCCGGGTCCGACGAGGCTGTGGCTCATGCCCTGTACATGTAGAAGCAGTGCTCGAGGCGTGTCAGGAATGGTCAGCAGAAGGGGCTTAGGGGGGGGGGGTTGCAGTGATGACATGTGGCTCAAATTGGGCACTAGGCGCGGGTACAGCTGTGGCTGCGGCCTTGGCATTGCGGGAGTGCTTTTTCTTGGTCGCCGTCGCGAAACTACGTCAATCCCTTTTGAGGCTGTGACCCCATGCCCCCAAGGATAGACACACGCACCGCATTCAATCCCAAGGCGTCCCTGCCCTTGTGATACTTTTCGACGCCATCGACATCGCCGACCCGACGACCTCTCGCGAGCCAACGATCTCTCTCGAGCCAACGACCTCCCTCGAGCCAACGACCTCCCTCGAGCCAACGCACTATGGCTCTCTGTTGACCTTGACCCGACGACATTGCCCTGCCTTGCTGTGCGCCCCATGAGGCTTCGGTCGACTTCCGACCCTCGACCCGCCGATTGTCGTCTCCTCATGCCGCCGCTGCGATGGGGGTGACACGCCTTGTATCCGAGCTCGAGCTGGGATGGATCGAGTCGCAGAACCAGCGTGACAAGCGCATGGAGGAGCTGTGGGCCAAGCTGGACACGCAAAAGTCGGGCTTCCTTGACTTCAAGGGCCTGCAGCGGGGATTGAAGAGGATTGATCATCGTCAGCCGCCCTCTGTTTTGTTCCTCGCTCTCGTTGTCCTGTGCTGATGTTTGCGAGCCGTAGCCATGAAAAATGCCGGAGAGATGATGCGCCAGATCCTGGCTAGGGTCGACACAAACGAGGACGGACGGATCGACTATGAAGGTGCGTTCACCTGAGAGGCCAACATTTGTTGGTGTGTCTCCGAATCCAAGGAGGGGGGGTCCTTCGCTGACAGACGCTTCTGCAGAGTTCCGGACGTTTGTTGAGCAGACCGAAAAGCAGCTTCTGATCCTGTTCCACTCGATCGATCGGGACAATAACGGAAAGCTCGACAAGGCAGAGCTGCAGGCAGCTTTCAAGCGTGCTGGGCTCGTTGTGCCGATGCGGAAGCTCGACGCCTTTTTCAACGACATTGACCTGAACAACGACGGCTATATTACCTTTGGCGAATGGCGGTACGTGAGACCTTGTTGGCGCCTTCGTGATCGTGCTGCGTGGACGTGGGGGGCTGCGAGCTTATAAGAAGAGACCCTGGTGGAACGCCCTCCTCGTGTTGTGGATGCCTATGAAAATAGCAAGGCTGCGTTTTGCCCATTCACGCGCAACACTATGCCTATACTGTGCGCAGTTGGCTGACCTCTTGATTCACTGCATTAGGGACTTCCTGCTGTTTATGCCGGTGCACCACGGCAATGCGCCGCTTGAGGCTGTCCTCAGCTACTACTCGTCGATTGTCACCCTCACTGCCGAGGGCGACTCGATGGTATCGGAGGAAACACTTGAAGGCTTAGGTACGACCGGCTTCCTTCTCAAAACTCTCTTTGGGTCTATCCTGCGGATTGCCTCCCCTGCGGACCGCGACCCCGAGCCCACCGACTTGCAGCAGCCAACACCAGATTCCACGCCTTCCCTCTCGCAGGGATCCAGTACTACCACCACAGAAGACCAACGCCTCGCGGCGCCATCATTACGAGACTCATCAGTACCGCCATCACAACCAGCAGACCCCCTCACAAGTAATCGAGAAGACATGGAGTCGAGCGTGCTCCAGTCCTATGTCACGGCTCTTGACGCCGCTCACGCCGAAGAGCGCGCCACCATCGCAAAGTCCCTCCGCCTCGGCCACGCTGCAATCCAGGCGACGACCACAACGGACCAAGGCTCTCAGGTGCGCCAGAAGAAAACAAAACTGACGAGTTACATCCCTGATCCAGGCTACTTCCTTGCCGGTGCCGTCGCTGGCGGTGTCTCGCGCACCGCCACGGCGCCCCTTGACCGTCTCAAGGTCTACCTGCTCGTCAACACAAAGTCGAGCGCCGACACGGCCCTCGCGGCCCTCAAGCAGGGCCGGCCCCTAGTCGCCCTGGCCAATGCCGGCAAGCCCTTTGGCGATGCCTTTCGTGACCTTTGGCAGGCCGGCGGTATGCGCAGCTTGTTTGCTGGTACGTTGGTCCGCACCTCTTGCATGCGCCGCACGGGTATGCTGACTGGCCATAGGCAACGGTCTCAACGTGATCAAAATTATGCCTGAAAGCGCAATCAAGGTATGTCTTGCCCCGCCGTCAATCCTGATTTTTTTTTGGCCCGTCTGACATGCGCCTAGTTTGGGTCCTACGAAGCCGCCAAGAGGGCCCTCGCTAAGCTCGAGGGCCATGACGACCCCAAGAGGATCAACTCTTACTCCAAGTTCACGGCGGGCGGCATTGCCGGCATGGTCGCACAGTATGTCCACGGATAAACTACAACGAACACAGAGTCTTCTGTCTAACAACATGGTAGATTCTGCGTCTACCCCCTTGATACCCTAAAGTTCAGGTATGACCAACCCTCCCCTCGATGGCCCTTGTCCCGCATCCCCCTGACAGCCTTGCAGACTTCAGACATCCACTGTCCAGGGCGGGCTAACAGGCAACGCCCTCGTCATTGACACGGCCAAGAAGATGTGGCTCGCAGGCGGCTTCCGCTCCGCCTACCGCGGCGTCACCATGGGCCTGATAGGCATGTTCCCGTACAGCGCCATCGATATGGGGACGTTTGAGCTCCTCAAGACGTCGTACAAGAAGTACGCCGCCCAGTACCAGGGCATCCACGAAGAGGACGCCAAGCCGGGCAACATTGTCACGGGCGTCATTGGTGCGACGAGCGGCGCGTTTGGCGCCACGGTCGTCTATCCGCTCAACGTCCTGCGCACGCGCCTGCAGACGCAAGGCACGGCCATGCACCCGGCGACGTACACGGGCATATGGGACGTGGCGCAGAAGACGCTGAAGAACGAAGGCATGCGCGGCATGTACAAGGGTCTCACGCCGAACCTCCTCAAGGTTGCGCCCGCCCTCAGCATAACCTGGGTCATGTACGAAAACTCCAAACGCATGCTGGGTCTGGAGTGAGGGGGGAGAGGCAGCAGCGGCAACAGCCGCACTCGAATATACAACAAGCGAAATACAGAGCCAAGCAGGACCTGCGGACACAGGTGGCGCGCAGATCAAGGGCATAGCATGGCGTCTGGGCCGCGAGCATTCTCCCATTTTTTCCCCTTCAAAAAAAGGGAGAGACAGAAAGAAAAAAGAAGGGAGCGGCGGCACAACCATGCGGAGGATTTTGGTAACCGTAATGTGTACAGAAGGCGGTAAAGCGGACAGGCAGACGACTGAGATGGGGTTGTCTCCTAGGGGGGCATCCTTGAAAGATACCAAGAGAGCGTCAATCGGTTGAGATATAAGTCATTCAAACTGCCTGCGTGCTTCTACTTGTGCTGGGCGGAGAGCAGGCTGCAGGCATGCCGTGGTGTAGACGTCTTGTGGTGTTCCACCGTGGTCGAATCCAGGCCGTGGTCCAGGTCTAGGCCGTGGCGGGGGCATCCGGGCCGCCGATCCCTGCACGACTTGACCCGTCCCCACTCCCACGTAATCCACTCACGACGTCGTGCTTCCCACCCGCATGAACTCTCCCGCCTGTCATGATTGCCTGGACGAACCACGACACATCCAAAATCATCGACCGCTGCCGTCATTGCCTTGTTTCTCAACCACCGGTATCGTGCTCCCACGCCAGGTCGCTGTCATCATGTCGAAGCCGAACCAGCTCTTCCTTCTCGCCGATCACATCAAGCTCTCCTTGCTGGAGCGCCAGCGCGCCAAGTCTCTCAACCTTGACGACGATTCCCAGGAAGGCCACATCTCGCGCTCCCTTGACCAGTTTCGTGATGGGCTCGAGGCGCTGCAGGAGGAGCAGAGGCGACAGACCGAATCAGGTGATGCCAGGTGAGCCTCGTCCCACTCCCGTGTCCCCCCCCTCTCTGCCCCGAAGGGAAACCTCCCGAGCTCCCGGAACTGACGAAACATCCCAGCGGCGCCCAATCCATTGCCGATGCCCTGCCCGCCCTGCAGAAGCAGTTCTCCGACCTGACGTCCCAGTTCCACGGCTTCCCGACGCCAGAAACCACCTCGACGCTCACGCAGCCCAACGACCCCTCCCTCTCGCCCGACTTTGCCCACGCCCAGTCGGCGACGGCAGCGACGGCCGGGCCGCCGCGCAAGACAACGCTCCGCTCGCCCTCGAGCTCCTCGACGATCCCCAAGACGGTCCGCTTCACCGACTCGGCGCCATCCCCCTCGGCCGCCGACCCGGCGCTGACGGCCGAGCTCTTCGGGCCCTACCGCGACGAGCCGTCCGAGACGGAGCACCGCGACGCCACGGCCGGCGCCGGCCTCGACAACCAGCAGATCCACGCCTACCACGCGCGCGTGCTGCGCGAGCAGGACGACCACCTCGACCGCCTCGGCGAGAGCATCGGCCGCCAGCGCGAGCTCAGCATGCAGATTGGCGACGAGCTCGACTCGCACGTCGCCATGCTCGACGACGTCGACGCCGCCACCGACCGCCACCAGGGCCGCCTCGACCGCGCCCGCCGCAACCTCAACAAGGTCGCGCGCTCCGCCGGCGAGAGCAAGCAGATGATGACCATTATCGCCCTCATCATCATCCTCGTCCTGCTCATTGCCGTGCTGAAATGAGAGGACGTGCTGGATGCTGCGACAAGAGAACGCAGTCTTCGTGCGTCTCAAAGAGTCCGAACGTCAGAGAGCCGAAACGTAATGCGCGGAAACGGGGAAAGTGGAAGGGCGGCGCTGGACGCAGACGTTCTGCGTGCGCCCCTGAGAGAGACACGAGAGCAGGCTTTCGCATGGGCCCCTTTTTTCGGACTCGAACTGTTTTTTTTTGTTTTGGAATAACACCAGCACCCTTCTTTCCATGTCCTGCGGCAGGCCTTGTTTTGGAATCCTCCTGGTTTCCTGGCCCTATACGCAGCATACACACGTACCCCCTATCCTACCCTCCCCAAATCCCCTACACACAGCATGGCTAGGAGTCTGGCGCACATCGCAGGGATCTTTTGTTTTGTTTCTTGGTCTTTGATATCACACTGCCAGTCGGCCGTTTTCAGCATCTCAGGTATACATGGTAGTAACATGGCAGGCTGTTCTTCGCCCGAGCGCGAGGATCGGCAAACATTGTACATCATGCTATTCCTGCCGTGAAACATAACATGTTGCTTGCTTCTTTCGCAGCAGGGTCGAAATACAAAAGAGTTCGGAAGGGGCCCCAGCGTCTGTTGCCCCAACCTACATCTCTTGTCGTCGGTCGCGGTGAGTCTACTCGGTTGCGGTGAATCAGCGTCGCGGTGAATCAGAGTTGTCGGTCATTTGTTTTTTTGGAATAGGCGCTGGCGGGAATTGAACGTGGTGCCTATGAGGTGAATCTATATGAATGCCACATCAAACTCCACCCCACCAACGAGGTTTGATCTGAGCTCCTAGCCAGGCAGCCCGCCTTCCTCGTTGGCGGCTAGTTTTCAGAAATTTACACTTAAGTACCCTCTGCACTCTTGCCTCCTGTTCACCTGTGTATGTCTGCTAGTAGACGGTTGCCTTTGTATATTTCAGAAGGACACAACGGAGAGGAAGCGCGGCTGAGCAGGTACGAATACACTATATCATTCTTACTCCTAACAAGCTTGCTTCTCCATCCAAGGCTCAGTACGCGTGCGCTGTAAAGAATATCTGATCAAAGAGACGCGACTTCATCACCCCTTAGCGAATGATATCTCCCTCTTTGTACATGCCCTCAAGTCCCTCGAGGATATCACTTCCTCCTAGCATTCCCTTGCCTCCCACCATGACCCTCTTCGCCGCTTGCCAGACTTCGTGAAACTTGATGGTATTGTCGCTCGATGCCACGACAATGCCGCCTTCCTCTGCTGGGCGCTCTCTTGCTCGGTCACGACACAGTCCCTTGGGACCGCCAGGGTACGCAATGGCGCTGAGCGCTCTGTGGCCCTTTTCCCACTTGACCACGCCGACCATCTCGCACGAAGGCCAACTGAACACGGCAATACGAAACAGATGTTCGGGTTGTGAATAGCCAAAAGTGGCAGCAATCTCACGCCGGTTCGTGGACCATATGAGTGATGTCACCTGCGCCGCACATGCAATGGTTGCGAGAGCTGTGCCGGTCTTGGTGTGGAAGAAGTGTATGCATCGGTCATTGGAGCCGCCCCCTGTCGCAACGAGGCCGTCCTGCCATGGACAAAAGGCAATCGCCTTGACGGCGGCGCTGTGGATCCAGCGATGCGTCTCTGAACCGGGTCCGAACTGCGGCACCTCATCAGGCGAGGTTCGGACGGTCCGGATGCTGGTACCGTCTCTAAGAAGTTGAAATGCCTCTTCATCCCTTCCTTCATTTTGTATTAGCAGGTCATACAACTCACTGCCGATGCTTTCCGATGACTGCCTCCGCTTCCGTACCGTCGGCGAGACTGAACCCTGGTGTCGTTGTGGTTGTAGGATCTTGTTGACCTCGAACAAGCAGCAATAGTTGTCATTGGCACCAGTCGCAAAGACTTGACCGTTGGGGGACCAGACTAATGCACAGATCTGCAAAGCATGGGCAGAAATCTTAGCTACCAGCGTAATGGAGCCAGGCCAGTCATCGCGGGCCACTTCCCAAGCTTCCGGCCACTCCACAACGTAGTAGTAAATATGTCCCAAGACGTCGCCTACGATCAAGTCCTCAGTGGAGACCCTCCGTGGCGGGTTTGTGGGATGCTTCGACAGCCGCAGTGTGCACGTCGGCCGCTAGCTGACACAGCAGATCGGGAACGGGTGCGTCATCTCGAAGCGTGGAAGATGACTATTGAGAGACGTCAGGGCAAAGTAGCCACTCGATCGACTGTAGGCAAGTATTCCTTTGCCTCCCTCTTCCGAGGAGAAAGAAACCGAAGTCAGCCAGGGGGAGTCGGGCCCACGCACTACGGGCATGACTCCGTGACGACTAGACCATGAGTACAGCGTGCCTCCCAGCCCTACCGCAAGGACGTTCCAAGTCCCCGAGTAGGCCAGCGTTGAGCAGTAGTAGTCATCGCGGAGATCGGGGGCGTCAAGCACACGGAACGGGGCTGAAGGCAGCCTGCGCTCGATTCGAGAAGCCCGTGCCCCTGCTCCGAGTATGGTCAGTCTGATAGTCTGAGAGGAATAGGAAGCCAACCTACTCCCGGAGTGATGTGGTTCAATCCATTCTGTACCGTTCCACGTCGTTTTTCTTTTGCGTCCCATTGTCTGCATACCAGTGTGTGGGGGATTGAGCAGCTTGTCACTGAAACCAAAAATCTTTGATGCCTGATCAATGTTCAGGGCATATGCAAGGCGAGCTTCATGTTGTTCGACGTCTCTCGGATATGTCGAGTTCTTCAGACTCGGAAATGCATTATAGTGAAATCGAGCGCTGGTACCAGTTCGAATGAGGTGGCCACGACCACTGTCGATGGCCGTGCCACTGGGAGCCACGCCACCGATAGCCTAAACTGTACCGTGGCTGAGCTGTCTCGTACTGAAGATGCGTCGGTTCTCCGGCATAGGGACGATTGTCGTTCCTACTTGGGTGGCTATTAGCGAGCCGTTTCGAGTGTGGGGCAGGTGCTGAAATCTCCTACTTGGCGCCTCTTCCATGCGGGAGACGTAGCGGAAGTCTGAGGCCAAAGGGGGGGCATTGGCGGTCGCTCGGTGCAGAAAGACGTCAGGAGAGGCATGATGGTTGCGTAAAAGCCTCTCGGAGGCTGTCAAGTCATCGACGAGCTTGGAGGTACGGTACGTGATAGAGATGGGTGCGGACGCTTTCCATCGTGGTATGAAGCGGTCTGGCAGGTTCAGGGACCCTTTTGTATATTGTCGATTCGGTTTTGGCCGGACCACCTTGTTGGAGTGAAAGTTTGCGGGAATGCCGGTACGCAATCTGGATCGAGTCTGTCTTCTCGTGGGCGTGGGTTCAACCTCGGGCTCTTTATCAGACTCGTGATCAGACTCGTGCTTATCTGAAGATCCGGAGCCGTCACACACAAAGTCGTAGTTGAGACAGTATGGAGGGAATTCTGGGACATCGTCCTGGTGGGCTCTCTTCTCCGGCGAAGAGCACTCAGAGGAACCGTAGCCCGAGTCGGCTGGACTGTCAAAGGGGTGGGCTAGTCTGGCCAGCCCCCGAATTCGACGGGACCGGGGGGTGCGGGGAGCTGGTCCCATGGCCAAGGTCGGCTTGTTCGTCACCGGCAAACCGATTAGCCTGCGGGCGGTAGAGAAAGGTGTGTGGATGCCTTGATCACCGAGTCACGAAAGAAGAGCCCAAACACCTCAGATTGGGCCCGTACGGTGTTGAGAGAAAGAATGACTGATCATACGGATAACAAAGTCAAAATCTATAGTGTGTGTTGGTTGGGGCGTCGGTGAGCAAATCCACCTCGCATACCAACGTGGCGAGATGGCGGGAAATGTATGAGCACGCGTCGGACAACGGAACTAGGAAAGGGAGAAGAAGAGAGAGAGGAGACGATTGTAGGGGCATGAGGGATGGAAGAGGATGAGGAAGACATCAGCCAGGCGGGCGGGCTCTGCAAGAGATGTGGCCGAGTGCAGTTTCTCAGGCAGCGCGCCATGACGGCGACAGTGTAGGCGAGGTACGTGATCACTACCTAGCTTGCCGAAGCCCTAGATGAAACATACTCGGTGGGTGCTGCAGTCACATACCAGAATCTAAGGTACTTGCCTTACCTCCTGGTTCAATACCTCCCTTACTGGGTACCTACCTACCTAGGTAGGTGAGGTAGGTACGGATATCAGTCGGGAAGGTTCACCTGGCTCTGACTTCCTGGAAGGCGTCTCCGGGAAGCGTCTTGCCCTCTATCACCAGATGGGGCCAATTCTTTTTTTTATTTTTTTCCAATATTGTGCATATCATTAAAACACCACAAGAAACCGACCATAGGACATGGCACAGCACCCCGAAGCAAGGCTGTCTTGCATCAAGATCGACACCTATTGATTATTGAACTCGTGCTGTCGAACAGGGAGCTTGGGCCCCCCTGAACCAGCATCTCTCGCCTCGGTGTATCTAACCGGCCGGTGAGGAGAGGTGGGGTGACTGTTACTGGCAGCACTGTGACATGACGAGGTGGGCATCCGTGGGCGTGGGGAATCCCTGGCACTGTCACATTTACTTCCCGCCTAGTACCAAACACCCAGGACCGTCTGACAAAGTCCGACAAGTCCGCCAACGTCCCGATTCTGCTGCATAATCCGGATCCGACCACCCTCGCCCGCAGTGGCACCTTGTCGATCCGTTCTGCCGTGACTTTATCCTTGACACCTTCTCTTGCTGGAAGCTCCCTCTTCATCTCTGCCATGGCCAGCGTAAGCAATCCCCCCATCAACATCACTACCACGCCATCCCAATCACCCGCTCTGCCAAGCATCGCGATAAAGCTGACGCACGCCCAAAGCACGGCGTAGCCCGCACGTCCCGCGCCCGTACGCCAGCTCAGTACCAAGCCGACCAGGACAAGATTGCCGCCTACCGCGACCTCGACGCCCGCCTCCTTGCCGCCAACAACGACTCCTCCGCCCTCGCCGACCCCGCGACCCTGTCCCTGACGGCGGACCTCCTTGCTCGCAACCCCGAACACTACACGGCATGGAACGTCCGCAGGCGCTGCCTAACCTGTGGCTCCTTGTCAAAACGCTCGCCTGGGCCATCGCCGTCGGCGCCGTCCGCGACTTCTTCCACACACTCCACAGCGCCAACGTCCTCCGCCGCATGGTCGCCCTCTGGCTCGGCCGCGACCCAGCCAGCCCCCGCGTCCCTTCCACACCCCTCGAGTGGGAGGAGTGGTACAACAGCTGAGGGGAGCCCGGCCCCTGGCGCTGCGGTTCCCGAGGCCAACGCAACCCTGAAAACTGACGACAAAACTGACGGCAAGCACAACGCACTCGTCCTCGACACGCTGCGCTCCGAGTTGCAGTTTACCTTTCCCCTCATCAAGGCTAACCCAAAGTGCTACTGGATCTGGAACTACCGCCTATGGTTGCTGCAGCAGGCCATTGAGCTGCTGCCGGTGGCCGCCGCGCGCCGCGTCTGGGACGAGGAGCTCGGTCTCGTCGCCCTGATGCTCACCAAGGACCAGCGCAACTTTCACGCCTGGGGCTACCGTCGCCACGTCGTCCGCACTCTAGAGAGCGAGGCCCTCGCCGGCAGCACAATGTCAGAGGCCGAGTTTGCGTACACTGAGCGCATGATCAGCGCCGGTCTATCCAACTTTTCCGCCTGGCATCATCGGAGCCGGGTCATCCCGCGCTTGCTGAACGAGAGGGGGCTCAATGACGCGGAGAGGCGGGCCTTTCTGGATGCGGGTAGGCATCTCTCGCCCTTGCGGATACCTTGTCACACTTGGTTCGCGAAGCTGACAGGGTGCAGAATTTTCGTTGGTGAGGAGAGCCCTCGACGTCGGGCCGGAAGATCAGTCCTGCTGGTACTATCACCAATTCCTGGTCCTCAACATGACGGAACCAGTAGGCAAGCAGACGATTGCGCCCAACCTTGGCGCCGAAGACAAGGTGCCAATCCTGCAGAGCGAGATCGACAACATTAAGGACCTTCTCGAAGACTACGACGACGATCTCAAGCTGGCATATGAGGCGCTCATGGACTACACGCCGGCCCTCGCGCGACTTGAAGGGCGCGAGGAAACTGAGACCGACAGGGCTGAGCTGCAGGGGTGGCTTGCTAAGCTGCGGAAGCTGGACCCCATGCGTAAGGGACGCTGGGATGATTTCGAGCGGGCGCATAGCTTGCGTTGATAATCGTGTGGACTTGGTACGGTGTACGATTACGAGTTGACATGATGAGATGATCAAAGTAGATACAATTTGAGCGCAATGTTGTTTAATACAAGGCAGCATGCTGTACATGCCAACAGATGTTTATTACCACCACCCCCGCTCCTTACGCGGTGCACTTGCCCCTGACCAGACTAGCATCCTTGCCAACGAGGCCGTCAATATATCCCAGCAGCGTCTCCACGGGGATCATGTCAATGGCGCCGAGCGTCGGGCTCGACGACTTGAACACCTGCCCGCCAAACAGAACGCGCACATACCACCCGCTCTCGCTGCCCGCCGCACCAGTAGGCGCAGCCGTAGGCGTCGTGGAGACCGTCGCCGTCGGCGCGACGACGCACGCGCACGCCGACTTGACAGCGGCCGCGTCCCCCTTGCAGTTGGCGATCCAAGTCGGCAGCGGCGACGCCGTCGCCGTCTCCTGGGCCGTGAAGCCAGGGCAAAAGGCCGAGGCCGAGGCCGACTCGCGGATCATCTGGCGCAGGCAGTTGTTCCGGCTGCAGCCGGGCGCGACGACGGTCGGTGCCGGCTGGGACGAGGCGGTACCGCTCTGCTTCTTCGTCGTCTTCTTCTGGTACAGCTCGAAGACGACCTCGGCGCCCATGCCGGGCCAGACCATGTGGTCGATCTGCAGCAGCGACAGAAGGCGCGAGACGGAGCCGTCGTGGGCGACGTTGTGCCTGTAGATCGGGGCGTTGGCGGCGGCGGCGTCACCGGCGACGGCGGCGCGCAGGTGGCCCGCCAGCTCGGCGGCCCAGACGCCGTAGGTCGCGGTGCTGGCGGCGAGCGAGTCGGGACTGTCGCGGTAGATCTGGGAGTACTCCCAGTGGCCGATGCGGAAGACGGTGTCGGCCTGGGTCTGGCTGATGCAGGCCGACGTGTCGTTGCGGCCGTTGACGAGCCTGCAGGGCAGGGGCTTGTCGTGGCACTGGCGGGCCGAGAGGTTGTCGTAGTAGGGGTCGAAGGAGTTGTGGAAACCGGCGTTGGAGGCGGGCACGCCGGAGATGGTGTCGAGGGCCGAGTAGAGCGGGGCCGCGGCGCGGAGGTGGTTCGCCCAGGCCGGGTTGTTGCCGGACTTGATGCGGCTGAAGAGGGACGAGCCGGCAGGGCAGCTGTACTGAGGTTCAAGGGAGTCGACGCCCGACGCCTGGATGCTGAGGCCCTGCGGCGATGTCGTGTCGTACATGCCCTTGATCAGGAGGCCGGCGACCTGGCTCGTGATCTGGTTGTTGGTCACGCGGTACTGGACCTTCTCGTGCCACGAGGGGTCGTTGCGGCTGGGCAGGAAACCCAGAAGATCGTGATAAACGCCGAAGAGATCGACGCCGTGGACATACGAGTCGTCAAGGCCCTGAGCCGTGATCTGGGGGAATTGGCAGGTTCCGATCCAGCCGGCAGGGACGAAAGGGTTGACGGGCGAGATGTACACCTTCCAGTACGTCTTGGCTGCGGAGTTGCTGCCGTCCAGACGCTCTCCAAAGTAGAAGAGGCCCTGCTCATCGCAGTTCCACTGGTAGGACTCAACGGGGAAGGCATTGGAGGAGTACGGCGTGCGTTTGTGGTGACGGTGGATCTGGTACAGAATTAGTCGTTTTGTCAAGCAAAGAATTCCCAGAACTTGGCTCACCAGCTCGACATATTTCAGTTCAAAGTCATCCGACGGCCTGACATATTCCGTCTTGCGCACGTGGGGCATGTTACACCAGTTGTACGTGCCGTACTTGTCGATTGGCGTCTCAGAGGTATCATAGATGAACCCCCACTTGCCCTCACCGTTGAGCACCTCGGTGAAGTTGGCATTGACCTGGGACTTGGCCGGCGCATGCCAGCTCACATCTATGGACTGTGCTGACACGGTTGAGCCGGCAACTGCGAGGGCGCCCAGGATGGGGCCAGTCTTGGACCAGAGAGCCATGATGTGTTGTGTGGTGTAGGTGCCGATGAGGAAGATGCCAAGGCAGAGTAGGGTGGGCCTGATCAGTGAAGAGAGGCTTGTTGATCTCATGGTTCCGGCGCCCAGAGACGAAGACATGGCGACGCTTTTATGCTCAACGGCCTCTCTACACTCGCCTCCTCATCAGGGTCCCAAGGTGCTGGCGACAAGGTCACCACGTGCGTCGGCGGTGCTCCGCTGCTGCATCTGCAATTTCGGAACAAGGCGAACAAATGGCACTATGGACACGTTTTGAGGCCGTCTCTGGGGACTATTGATGATATTGAAGGATAGCCTGGCGGAAAGTTCGGTCGTCGTTCCCACGATGATGCCCAAGTACAGTTGTGGTTGGGGCGTGAGCTCCCACGTGGGGAGGCGCGCTCGACGACTGGCTGTGCCTGGAACGGTACGTACCTGGCCCATTGACCAATGGCACGTGTTCCTGGTTCCTGGTATTCGAGGAAGCACTCCCATTCCATCGCATAGGTACCTAGATAGGTAGCTACCTACCTGCCTCAAGGTAAGGTACCTTACTCTTAGACCTCGTGTATTCTCCCGTAGTCCCGTAGTATCCCGATCTGAGTTTCTCTTTCATCCGAGTCACACCAGGCCAGCAACGATCCTCCATCTCCATCATCTTGCCCCACCTATGTCTGTCCACCCGGGTTGAGACCACTCCGTTCATCATCGCCTGTCTGTCGCCATGCTCAGCAAGATGAAATTGACTGCGAACGTCCTTCTCTATAGCTCAGAACTCACCATTCATCTGCCTTCTTAAACAGCCATCAGTGTCCTCGTCGATGACCACGTCCCAGGTTAATGCCAGGAAACTGGGGGATTCCGAGGACGCCTGGCACCGGACACTGGTTGTACCAGTATGCATCAATGAGGTACCACGCAACCCATCTACCCGACTCCTCGTCCCAACCATATCGCCACCCCCCCAGAGGCGGCGGGGTCGGGATCCTCCGGACGACAGGCGTCTGTATGGTCGGTGAACCCTCGAAAGTCGGCGAGGGCGGGGCCGTGTACGGCGGCAGAGCCGCGTCCCGTTGATTGTGGGCGTGCTAAGCCTCGCCAGTCCGGGGGTCGACGTTGGGGGCACGGCGTTTCTTGTTGACCATCTCATCGACATCGTCGAGGTCGCGGAGCGTGGGCTGCCAGAGGTTGGCGGCGATGATGTCCTCGGCCATCTTTTTCTTCCCACCGTGGTTCTTGTCCTTGTGTCTGTCTTTTTTGTCGTCCCTGGCAATTGTGCTAGTATCTGTCATGTGCTGGAAGCTCATTCCGCGTCGAGAGCGTGGTATTAATGATATCTGCTGAATCCTGCAATCATTGCGAGCGAGAATTGCCAGGGGGCTTGCTGATATCGGACAAAAGCAAATGATGATGAAAGCTCGTGGTGTAGTCAGAGCCTCCCGGGGTAGGGGTTTGATTGACGTGACTGATCGATATTGTGAGAGATGCGTAGAGAGAACATGATCTCGAGGTCAGAGGCATGGACGTGCCAGATCATTCCTTTTAAAAATCCAAAGGAAAATCCAAAGGAAAAGCACTGATCGTCATGGCGAACATGCTCTGGCCCTATTGCGGTCAAGCAACGGGATAAAGGACGCAGCCGAGACAATGCCAGACCCCACGAGCCACAAAGCTCAACACAATTCTATGTTCCTTCATGGACGGAGAGTCGCCAGTGCATGTGTGCCAGAGCTGGCCGGTCCTTTCTTGAATCCGGACAAAGGGTCATGCGAGCCAGAAGCCTGGCCATGGCATGGGGCACGCAGGCGGCCAGTGTGTGTCTTGTCGTGAGTTGACTTCCAGGCTCCTCCCAATTTTGGGTACAGTATCCTTAGAACATCGTCTTGAGGCAGGTGCATTTGACGAACATGTTGTATAGTCCTTCACAGAACGGTCCGTGAACTTAACACGAGTCCGTCTGGTCAAGGTTGTGAAGCTACCAGGATTTGAGGAGGGCCCTCCTTCTATTACTCGTACAGAGCTCTGGCTCTCATTTTGCTACGAAGGGTGCTGGGGTGATCGTTGTTCATTCCCAAAGGCGTCTGTAGCAGCTGATGAACGTAAATCCCATGTCTTGAGGCGCAATCCCATGATGAGAGGACTTCCTCAGTCCGCTGTCAAGGCAATACAGGCTGTAGCTCTCACTCGCCATCTTAGCCTGTTCCCTGGAAAATGCGACGTGGGGTAAGCATCAGCCCAAGACGGAACAGACCGACATTGGCCTTATCATAGTAGACGACAACGCCTAGGCCATGGCTTCTTGAATATCAGGGATATCATCTCACAGGTTGAAGCCACTATTTTCCCGTCATGAGATTGTTCAGGCAAAAATTATAAGCAAGACAGAATGCAAGTTGAACACACCACACCAGTCCCACCACACATCGACCGCGAGCAGATGCAGAGGACAGCATCCGACTCACTTGCCGGCATGCTCGGGCAACGAGACGTGGAAACGGTCCTTCTAGAATGGAGCCTTGGATCGAATAGCTTGGGAATATGGCTGCCTGCACTGCATGTCGGTCGGCGTCGACTCCGCCTCGTTGAAATGGGCCACAAGCTAAAGTTGTGCCGCCAAGAAAAGTGTTGGGTGGCATCGCCTCTCGACACTGCATCATAGTACCTAAGGAGGTACATTACGGTAGGTAGGTACCTAACAAGATGCGCATCACCACAGACGGAAGGAGCGGGAAGGCGGAGCCATATCCTGCCCCGTACACGTAGTGGTGTTCTCCTTCCACGGCTGCCTTGCCCTCTGGATCTCAGGACCTGCCGACCCGGGAAGGCTGCCCGACGAGGGCGGCGACGTCAGTGGCCGGATCCCGTTAGCGGACTGCACATGACAAAGCCTTCTGGCTCCGGATAGGTCCACCATGATGGAACAGAACCCACCCAGCCATCCACCCATCCATCCATGGCCGCCCCCCCAATTCATGATTGCTGTGACACCTGACCCTGAACCTTCCCTCGCCGCCAGCCATTTCACCTGAATCACCTCACCTACCATACCAACAATAAAAAGCCATCCCAACCGCACCTCGAACTGCCGTATCCGCGCTAAAATCCAAACATCAAGAGAATCCTTTCGATCGCGAAGCTCAAGACGACCTAGAAGACCCCGACGACTACCTCACCTACCCAACACCCAAGACACCCACCATCAACATGAAGCCCTCTTCGTTCCTCGTTGCCGCCCTCGCCATCGTGCCCGGCGCCATGGCCGTCGATCAGATGAAGAACATCATCGTCTGGGCGCAGGACGACACCACTACCGACGCCATGATCGAGAAGGCCAAGTCGGCCATCCTTGAAGCCGGTGGCAAGGTCACGCACGTCTACAGCACCCTCATCCGGTACGTCGCCTACGCCCCCGACGAGCGCGATCGACACCGTCCCCTCGTCAATCCTTTAGGCTACGAGAAGCGATATGTGTGAATTGAATGCTAACACAAGACAGTGGTTTTGACGCCATCGCGCCTGCCAAGGTCGTCGAGGCCGTCTCCGCCTTTGACGCCGGCCTCAAGGTCGAGGAGGACCAGATTGTGACGACATACCAGAACAAGGACAACTAAAGGGGCGAAGCGAGACACATACGACGGCATGCTCTGGAGCATGGACAAAAAGGGACGTCGAAATCATTGGGGAACGGGCCTCGACGCAACGATGACACGTGCGATGCCATCGACGGCCTGGAGAGTACAACCACATTCATTCGCTTAGCATGGGAAGTACTGGTGTTGGGGCGTTTTTAGCAGATACCTGATCGAACTGAACCGGATCGAACCCTTGGTGGCTCGACGAATAGACGGGCACTTGATTTTTTTTTATGTATTTTTGTCCTGAGCATCGTCCCCGTGTTCATGCAGTGTTACACTCTCAGACCGCATGGCATCAAAGAAGGTTTGCTCCTATCGTTTGAGGGAGCGGTGGCATGGTTCGTTGGGCCTGTCGATGCGCCGCTACGAAACCAAGGGATCATGCCAGTGATTGAATCGAGCAGCTAGACTGCCGCTCAAGCGATCACCGGCCATCTGAAGGCTGATGGTGTTCACCTGTGAGAGGAACCGGCGTATGGAAGGAATCGACCAGACCGTAAGCATGACGGCTGGGCGTCGATGATGAGCGTGCTTGTGGAGGAGGCAGAGGCGGGATCGGCCGCTAACGTGCCCCCTCCCGGTGTTCCTCTCTCCCAAACCCCACGATGATGACATGGAGTACACGGCTCGACTCGACCTAGGACCTGGGATACTCAGCGGCCGAGAGCTCCGCGATCCTTCTGCCCAGGGATAGAGGGGAGAAGGGACGGAGAGCTCGGATGGTTGACAGGTTCGGTACGGCGTGACACCCACCGGAAATAGGCATGCCTCTTCCCTTCTTTTAGTCTTTGTTTGACACAGATGTGATTTCTGCAAGACCTTGGGGGGGAGGCGGTATCCTGACGTTTGCCTCATCTACGCAAAGTGGCTAGGGGCCATGAGGGGCCAGAGCGTACATGTAGGTAGCATGGGGGAGAGCGGATGACGGGGGGGGCGATGGTGCTGTTTGACGGGAGGGCCGGCGGGAAACTCTGCCTTTGTTCGACAGGCCGGGGGTGGGAGCTGAAGAAGACTCTGGTGTGTGCGTGTGTGTGTGTGTGTGTTGCTTGTTCTTCAGCTGGAAAAGGGAAAAGAACGAACAAGGCGTCTGTGATGTGCCGTCACTCGAGATACCTTGTAACTGAAGTCTCAACTCAGCTCGGCGTCCTGCTCAGCTCGGTGCGATGTGAGATGCGTGGGGGACTGACAAATAGCAGAAGCACCTCCAGGCGAGGGCACCTCACGACAAGACAACAGAAGACACAGAAGGGTCCCCGGCACTGAGCAGCAAGCCCACGACATGTCATGCAGGTCCCCCCCCTTGATGCGACGCCGTTATTGGCCTTGGTCCCCTAGTCGAGTCATGGCATGGGATCCCTGGCCTCCCGTGTCGCTTCGCCTCAACCTTGTGCAGAGTGTCACCCATTGTTTCGGACACTTTGGATAATTGTAGGGGGCACCTCTGGTACCGCGACACAACCCAACGTGCCTCTACAGACAAGCTGCCTCTCAGACAAGCTGCCTCAGACAAGCTGCCTCTGACAAGCTGCCTCTGACAAGCTGCCTCAGACAACCTGCCTGTGCAGAACAGCGTAATCGATAAGAAGAAAGAGCTTGGACCCGAACTTGCTCGTTGACCCTCCGTATCGTCCCTGTCCCTCGTCTCGGTCCCCTCGAACAACATTGGTGACCCAGCACGACGACCCTCTTCAACCCCATTGTTCACCTACTGACTCTGGACACCAACTCTGACGTCTGCTCTGCGGACCTCCCTCCCTTCTGACGAATGGCCTTTTACTAGATAACACCCGCCAACAGCAGCAGTCTCCTTGGTGCCGAGCATGCCACCGCCGTCAACATTCGCTGCATACATGGAATCAGGCCTTCGCTGAAGACTTCCCACACATTGGCTCTTCGACGACGACGAGTCTTGACGACAGGGGACACGACCTCCTGTCTTTCCCCTCGGCCCGCCCACCATACGACCCAGCACACACACACACACACACATCACCCACACAAACATGACGTTCACAAAGGGCGCGCAGGACGCGCTCCTGCAATGGGCCAACACCTTTGCCCTCGACAAGAAGGCCGAGACAATGGACGACTTCCATGATGGCGTCCTCCTCTCGCAGATCCTCGTCGACCTCGACACCAGCTACGACCCCTCCGAAGTCCAGACCGAAGACAAGCGGTGGCTCGCCAACAAGAAGAACCTCCAGAGCGTCTACAAAGGTCTCACCCGCCTGATCCTCCGCGAGTGTCCCGGCCTCAGCCGCCAGGCCAGGATCGCCGACTTTCGCGCCATCGCCTCGAGCCCCGATGCCCAGGGCATCTGCAAGGTAGGCCACGACCGCCCCATGTGCTCGACCAAGCCCACCCAGCGCGTGCTAACCGCCGTCTCCCTGCAGCTCCTGGCGCTCCTGTTCGCCGTCGCCATGCTCGGCAGCAACAACGAGCGCTACGTGACCCGCATCACGCGCGACATCACCGACGGCGCCGCCCTGTCGCAGCTGCAGCGCATCACGGTCGAGATGAAGACGGACATGGAGGAGGCCCTCGCCGCCGCCGGCACCGACGACGCCCACGACGTGGCCGTCGAGGCGCGGGACCCGGACCTCGCCCTCGAGGAGGAGAACGCCAGCCTCATGGCCCAGCTCGACAAGAAGAAGAAGAACCTCGCCGACATGGAGACGCGCCTCGCCCACCTGCAGGAGAGCTACGACGACCTCAAGGACGAGGCCGCCCGCGTCACGAGCGAGCTCGAGGACGTGCGCAGCATGCACAGCGGCGCCGGCGACCAGGTCATCCGGAACCTCGAGATGAAGATCCGCGAGCAGGACGAGCTCATCGCCACCCAGGAGGGCCAGCTCGAGGACATGCGCATCGCCAAGGAGCGTCTGCAGACCGAGATGGCCGCCCTCAAGACGAGGGCCGCCCGCGGCGACGTCCTCCAGGACGAGGTCAACGAGCTGCGCTACCGCGCCGAGGAGCTCGGCCGCAAGGCCAACATGGTCGAGCGCTACAAGCAGAAGCTCGAGGCGAGCAGCAAGATGCAGAGCGAGCTCGACAACTTGCGCTACGAAAAGGAGGAGATGCAGCGCGACCTGCTCGAGTACGAAAAGGTCCTGAAGAGGAACCGCGCCCTCGAGCTGGCCAACGACAAGTACGCCGAGAAGATGCAGGACTACGAGGTCCAGCTTATCGAGCTGGACAATAAGCGGAAGGAGGAGTACAACGAGATGATCGCGCTCAGGGAACACCTCGAGTCTCTCAGCGCGCAGCGCAAGGCCGACGAGATGTTCATCGGCGAGCTGCAGGAGCAGATCAGCACGGGTGGCCACGGCGCCGGGAACAAGTCTCCGTCGAGCCCTGGGGGCGCCGGGTTCAACCTCGACGAGGAGCTCGAGAACGCAAAGGACGTGGCGCCCAATCTGAGCCTCGAGATCTCACGACTCAAGGCTGAGAACCAGCTGCTGCGCAGCAGCATGGGCTCCGGATCAGAAAACTCACGCCTGCGCAGGGAGCTCGAGGAAGAGCGCGCGCAGCGCAACCGGCTGCAGAAGAATTTCAACGATATTCACGAGAAGCACACCGTGGCGGAAGCACAGGTCCAGTCACTGCTGCGCGACATGACGGACGAAAAGTATGTCGAAAAGATGGATGCCCTGTTCCCCGCCGGCGGCAACGTGGCAATGCTAACGCAGGAGTTCTTCACCGCCAGGGCCTACACCGAACTCGTCGCACAGCAGAAGAAGTCGGAATTGGAGCTCAAGCAACACATTGAGCTGGCGACAGAACTGCGAAACCGCATCGCGGACCGTGACCGCGAACTGTTGAGTGTGAAGACTGACCTTTCAGCCGTCGAGAAGGATAGTATAGAAGCGCTCGAAGAGCTCAAGGCAACCGACAAGCTCATCTCCGGCTCACTGCACGAGGAGCTCGAGGCGCTGCGAACCGACCACAAGAACGCCACCACGGACGTGCAGGAGGCGCAAAAGGCACTGACCAAAGCCCTCCTCGAGAAGGACGAGCTTCGAAAGGATCTCGACACCGTCAAGGAGCAGGGCGCTGGTCAAGACTCGTCCAAATATCTGGAGAAGATCCAACAGCTGCGTGACCGGCTCAAGGAGCGCAATGAGGTGAGTTGCCCTCTTTCAGTCCAGTCGAGATACACGCGAGACCACATCGCCATCTACCCCGACAACAGCACCCGCCTCCCCGGGCAGTCCGCAAGGCCGCCTACGTGCAAGCAGGCCCGTAGTAGCATCTTGCCAGCCCGTCCTCCCGCTGCCCTTGTCAGGGACAGACACCCGCTGGCGCGAGAACCAGCCTTCACGATGACCGCTCCCAAGCTCTCCCTTTCGTCCGTACACCCCCCAGCTTGCATGGGAAAGGCAGGATCAGGCATTCCTGCCCCTGTTCAAGGCTTCAACCCGATACTCCCCAAACCCAAGGAACGGCCCACGTCTTGGTTGTCTATCCACAGCAGCGTCCCACAAGAGAAGCGTAGCTCTTGGGGGTCACTGCTCTGGTAGATGCCGGTGGATGCCTGTACTTTCAAGTGGAAGCTGCACATTTGATGGGCATCGTAACTCGCGAATGTATGGAACACAGACTGACATAAAATTCCTCAGCAACTCGAGAAAGCCGAACGCGACAGGCACGACCTTACGCGCAAGCTCAAAGCCTCAACAGATGGCGGCGCCGCACTGGCACAAAAGGTATACGCTGGACGATACTTTGCTCCCCAGAATTCCTCCCCTTTCCCTAGACAGCACAAGAAAATCCCCGTCTTTCTCTCTCAAAATCCGGGTCTTTGCTTCATCCACGTGAGAATTGGACGCTGGACAATTGCGACCTGAAGACCCAGAGCGATCAGATTATCAAGAACCTACAGCGCGAGAACGCGCTCATCGCCACGCGGTGTACGATCTCACGAGCAGGTTGCAGGAGGCAACCACCGGTCGTTCTGCAAAGACGGCAACGATGTGCCGCGCAGCTGGCTTCAACAAACAGCCGCCAGAATGTCAAATGGTACGGGCCAAGGCCCTGCTTCTTCCAAGCATGATGCGATCGGACTCCGCGACGCCGCGCCAAGACCCTAAGCCCGCGGCAGAAACACAACTCGGCTGATAGTAATTGGTATTCCCAGCTACCCCTAGGAAGTGAGCTTGACCGTCAAGCGTAACGCACCTGACTTTACGACCTTTTCCAGCCCTTCCCTTATACCACGATCATCATTATCATATCACTCATCGCATTAGAGCGTTCCTTTTTCTCCCCCCAAAATCCCATCTCAGCCTCTCGAAAACTTCACATTTAGTCACTTTTTTCAACGGAATCACCCGCATATTGTGGAGTTGGCGCCGACCGCGTGCTCCGTCATCAATTGAACCGCCCTGCTTTCTTGTTTCTCCTCATCGACGGTAGCTGGCTTCGTCGCATTCCTCTGGCGTGCGGCACGTTCCTGGGTTGCCATTTTTTCTCTGGAGTTGTTCTGTTAGAGTGTCGAGTTTGGGAGGTCTGGAAGGAGATAGAAATAATACCCCCACATTCAATACCAGACGTAAATAACCACTCCATTGCGTGTAAAATCTAGTTATGGTCATGTTTGTTCACAGTGACATGGGCCTTGGGATGACCTGGAATGTTTTGGCGGTGCGCGTGCCGACCTTGGGGTTCCTAGTAAGCTTCAAAGTTGCTTGACAAATTCATGTTGCCCTTTGGTCAGAGGTCTAGTAATCCTTACTGCATGGACAAGATGGTGTACATGCGATGTCAGGTCAAGGTGGCTCACCCGTCCATACCCTCGCGTTAGGTAGGGTTGGACGCGCGGCATATGAGATGTCAGGGTGCAGTTCAAAACACGCTCCTTGACCCAAGGACTCTGGTCTACAGAATGAGTTTCTGTCCGAGTTTTTAGGACAGTACATAACTGTCAAAGAGGGTATTTCGTCAAGTAGTTCATGTGCTTGATGTTGCTAGAGAGCATCACGACAAGGACTGAACTAAACCTGATGGCCAGACTCAGATTACGGTGCAGCAGCGAATCCGAGTACATGCACGCACTCCAGCACATCGCAATGAGGCAGAAGATGGCAGAAGAGTTCATCCTTAAACCTCCATTCGGTTTATTAGTGAGACAGTGATACATACAAGGCGTGATGGTGGCCGAGGGTCTCCCGGACAAGTACAATGAACATACTCCGTCGCTACCCCCCGGCAGAGACGAGCGCAGGCTCCCCGATGCAGCACCCCAATTGTCCAACGCCTCAATCCGGAGGCATGGAGCTCAAAACAAACATCATGAAGCGCTTTTCCCCCTCCGTGCCGGGCGTGACATCCAGGAAACTTCGCATCGTGCTCCTCAACTCTCCTCCGTTGCTTCCGACCATTTCTCCCCTCCCATTCACGCGGGGTCCTGCTTCCAGTGGTGGCAGGGGATTCAAGGGGGAGACGGGCTGCCTGGGGCAACCCGCTTACTGTGAGCCGGTGATGCGGCTAATGATGCCGGGAGCGCTGGGCTTGCGCTGGGCGTCGAAAATGGTGAGCATGTTCTTCCAGACCTGCGAGGGCTGCTGGGAGGCATCGATGCCCTTCCAGATACCGGTCTTCTGGTAGTAGCCCACGACGGGGGCGGTCTGCTGGTGGTAGGTGGCCAGACGCTTCTTCAGGGCCTCGGCGTTGTCGTCACTGCGCTGGATGAGAGGCTCGCCGGTGATGTCGTCCTTCATGTGCTCCTTGGGAGGGTTGAAGGTGCTGTGGTACGAGCGGCCAGAGGCGGGATGGACGAGACGACCGGTGATGCGGGCGACGAGGAGGGAGTCGTCGATCTGCAGCTCGACGGCGTGCTGGAGGTTCTTCTTGCGCTCGGCGAGCATCTCGTCGAGGCGCTGGGCCTGGACGACGGTGCGAGGGAAACCGTCGAGGATGAAGCTGGGTGGTGCACGGTTAGCACGGGTCGGTGATGAACAGGACGGCGGGTGAAAAGGGCAAAAACAACATACCCTCCCTTGCACTCCTTGTTGTTGTCGAGCTCCTCCTGGATCATGCCGATGACAATCTCGTCGCTGACGAGGCCGCCCTGGTCCATGATCTTCTTGGCTTCTCGGCCCAGCGGAGTCTTTTTCGCGACTTGCGATCGCAGCATGTCACCGGTGGCCTAGGCGCGAGCAAAAGATCAGTACAGCGTTCAAATGTTGGCAAAAATGTTGTTGTTAGAAGCCAATTGGCATACCAGGTGGCAGCAGGAGAACTTCTCCTTGATCTTGGGAGCTTGCGTGCCCTTGCCTACGGAGAAGGTCAAACGTCAGCACCAGATACCTCTGCGAAAACAGGCGCGAAAAAGACGCCAGCGGGAAGAGCATACCAGCACCAGGGGGGCCGATGAGGATCATGCGGACCTCCTCGGCACTCTTGGTCGTGGTACCAAAGGACTTCTGCTCCAGAGACTTGATCCGCGACTCGAGGCCCTCGACCACACCGGTCAACCGCTTGACTTCATCCTCAATGATACCCATTGTTGCAGAGCTTCGAGTGAACGAGGCCGTACCGAGGCAGAGTTGCGAAAGTGTGTCTCGAAAGGGAAGGAGGAGCTAATTGAAGGCACAGAAGGGGGAGGAGGTGGGAGGACCGAGTCGTGTATAGTCGTGGGGAGGAGAAGGGTGAGAAAAGAATAAATTGGCAGAGGGTTGGATGGTGTTGAGCACTGGACGACAGGTAACCAAGGTCGAAGGTTAAGGCCGGACTAGGAGCTGTGTTCTCGCGCACCTACCTGTCTCTGTCTGCCTGTGTACCTGTGCACCGGCCGGACCAGAGCAGCGAGCCAGTCGCACCCGAGCAGGGACCAGGGGCCTGCCGGGCTGGGATCTCTATTGTTGCGACGGTGGCTCTGGCTTTCCACCATCCACCGTCCACCGTCCACCCGCAGCGAGCGTTGAGCGTACCCAGACGTGACGGGTGGGAAAGCATGTGGGGCGCCCAAAAATACAGTGGAGCTCGACAGCGGTCGTCCGGCTGTTTCGCCCTGTTGTTGCGCGCTATAGCCTCCGTATTCCCGCCTGCCAGCTGTTCCGTTACAGCGACGCCGTCGCTATTGGCCCTGACCCCCCACTGAACATTCCTCTGCGCCGAGGTTCGGTCAGACTGGTTAGCACTCGGCAAGCGGGTTGCAAAAAAAATGAGACGTACCAGATCCCTCCCCCATAACCATTCCTACTACCCAGCTATTCAGCTATACATTTCTATAACGACTCCAGAGCTTCAGTCTAGGCGAAAAGCCTTTCTTTAAAATAGTGTACATTATACTGATCTATAAACTCAATAGTCACTATAATTCTAGATCTTGTAGGTGTCTCGTAGTAGTGTTGTGCAGTTATTCTAGGTAGAGGGGCTGGGGTGAAGCATTCAGTACGTCTCATTTTTTTTGCAACCCGCTTGTCGGATAATCCGTTCGGTTCTTCGGGAGAAGCACGGATAAGGTTGGTATGAGGTCACCACCGCATTGCTGGCGGGTGCGACATTATTACACACACCCGCACGAATGGGGTTGGCATCAAGGCCGTCAAGGTCGTGCCATCGGTATGTGGTGCCGGCATTGGCTTCTCACATGCCTATTGATGATCATTTGCGTGTCAGAAAGCCAGACAAGACGACCATGCTTCGATTTCTGCTTTGCTGTATGCACAAACTTGTATGCATGGATAACATGCAAGCCCACGTGAACACGACGACTCGCTCAGGATGACATCGAGGACTTTACATATTGCCATGAGGTACCTAGGCACGTACCCAGCCAGCACCTTGATCACTTGCCCGGTCCAGATGCCCGAAGCTTACTTAATCACAAGCCCCCTGCACGACACGTGACCTCGCGCTACAGCTCCCTTTGTGCGCTAAGCTGCTCTGAGAGCTCTGAGCTGGGCGCAAGGCGGAAGGCAGCATCAAGTTACGACAACACCACCAACGATATCGAAAACCGCCGCCGCACTACCATCACCATCTCTCCCTCTCGCCAACCACCAAACCACCTCCTCACTGCTGCACCAAGACTCAAACCACCCACCATGCCTGCCACCACAGCAGACACGCTCTCTCTCGTTACCCGAAACGTCTCCGTCGCCCCTCTCGTCCTCCTCTCCGCCGTCGATCATTACAACCGTGCTGTGTTCAAGGGCTCCAAGCGCAGAGTCGTTGGTGTGCTGTTGGGTCAGAACGATGGAAAGAACGTCAGGGTGTCGAACAGCTTCGCAGGTGAGTCGGAATTTGGCTTCTGATTCCTGTGAGAGCGCCAGGAATGATCGCAGGGCTGACAAACCATCGACACAGTGCCCTTCGAGGAGGATGAGAAAGACCCCTCCGTATGGTTCCTGGACCACAACTATGTCGAGGGAATGAACGATATGTTTAAGAAGGTCAATGCGAAGGAGAAGCTGATCGGGTGGTACCACTCCGGACCCAAGCTGCGTGCGTCAGATTTGGAGATCAACGAGCTGTTTAAGCGATACACACCAAACCCCCTCCTTGTCATTATCGATGTTCAGCCGAAGGAGTCTGGTGTGCCCACAGATGCGTACTTTGCGGTAGAGGAGATCAAGGATGTAAGTGTACACGACACTGCTAGAAAGGCCCTTGCTGACCAGAGAAAGGATGGCACCACAACATCCAGGACCTTTGTACACACCCCCTCCATCATCGAGGCCGAGGAGGCGGAAGAGATCGGCGTTGAGCATCTCCTTCGCGACATTCGCGACGTCGCCGTTGGCACCCTCTCCACGCGGATAACGAACCAGCTGCAGTCCCTGCAAGGGCTGCACCTACGTCTCCGTGACATTGGCGCATATCTCCAGAAGGTTCTCGACGGCCAGCTGCCCGTCAACCACGCCATTCTCGGCAACCTGCAAGACGTCTTCAACCTCCTGCCCAACCTATCCACACCCAAGGCCAGCGCCGACGGCAGCACCAAGCCCGCGGGCAGCGAACTCTCATATGCGATGGGCGTCAAGACCAACGACCAGCTCATGGCAATCTACCTTAGCAGTCTCATCCGTGCCATCACGGCCTTCCACGATCTCATCGAGAACAAGATTCAGAACCGCCAGCAGCAGGAGGACAAGGAGGCGAAGAAGGATGAGGCGGCCAACGGCGACAAGGACGAGAAGAAGGACGGCGCTGCCAATGGCGTGAATGGCGATGGCAAGGAGGGCTCCGACAAGGAGAAGGAGACCAAGGAGAAGAAGAAATAGACATCTTGACACGAAGGGCAAAGCCCCGGTGCCGGGAGCGATAGGGCGCAGAGGCGCGGGTAAGGCGCCGCGGGGCCAAAATAGACCGGGCGGGACGGCGCGGCAGGCGATACGGGCTTGTCATGATACACTTTGGCGTCCGGGAGGAAGAGGTTGGCCAGGATCAGCCAACACCAGTGGTGGACGCGGCCATGTCGGCATTGAGGCTGCGCGCCTCACACTGTACAACTGAAAGCATTGATTTGAGCAAACCGTGACGACCCTCTCTCTTGCCCCGTAGACTGCCGTGATCCAGTGCCATGGTGCAGTAGGGACCAGTGTTTGATTTCATATTTCAGCTACCATGCCCGCCATCTCTGTTCTGGAGACTCGCCTCTCGACAGCATGACTCCTCAGGACCTTCCATCGTTCAGCCAGTAGACTAGCCAGGAGATGCTTGCAGCATGGCACAGCCGCGCCGCTGTCCCGTCCATCAGAGCTCGTGCCGCCAAATCGCCATTCGACCGCCTCTTCATGTGCCGGGCCGTCCACGTCCGTCCCGGCTCCGAGGATATCCTCGTCCCCGTCAACGCTGCTTGGAAACGCCTCATACGCAAAATTAGCGCACGAGCAGTTCCACGCGTCAAGATGCACAATGTACGGCGCTGACAGCGTCGCGGCGTATGCGTTGCGCTTTGAAGTCGCGGCCGCCGAGCGCACGAGGTAAAAGGCCGCGGCCTCGTTCTCGGCCGTCTCGGCCGTCTCGCCCTGCACAGCTCGCTCGGGAAGCACGCGGGTGACGAGAGAGCGGTCGAGAAGGTCCAGAGCTGGCAGGAGGAGGGTTGGATAGAGGACGTGCAGGGTTGCAAGGAGGGGCCGGATGGCGGGCGGGAGGCGAGAAAGGGGGTTCGATGGGGCGGTGTTGGGGCTGGTTGCTGGGGCTGGGACGGAGGTTATCGTGTTGAGCAGAGAGGTGAGCACTGCTCCGGGGGTTGGGAGTGTCATGCTTCGGGATGCGTCATGAGTTTGGATGAGGTAGATGTCCTGGCGTTGGGAGATGATGAGTTGTATGTAGGATACAGGCCAGGAGCCTGGCTTGACTTGAGGCGCTATGAGATGTTGTCTGGTTCTGTAATCAGTGGCCCATTCTGCGTCACGAGTCCAAGGCCATACTACATTTAGTTGTGAAGCAAGACATCGTACAAGTCGAAATGTGGTCAGGTTGATGTGCTGGAGATCATGGTAGCCACCAAACCTACGGCCATGGGTGAGACGGCGCTATTCGGACAGTGCAACACATAAGCTGGACTGTACGCTATCATCCTCTTTCCAACCCAGAATTGAGTTTCAAATTGAACATACAAAATCTTCTAGCAAAGTTTATATCGTGCCAATGTCATTACAGCCTTGAAATGCTTTTTTTGGTGTTACAATCGCAAGTGAAATCCAGTGCGCCGCGCCTTTACACCCACTCCTTAGGGTTCCTCAGCACATCCACCAGCCTCTGCTCACGACTCTTAGGCTCAGGCTCGTGCATGTAGTGCCACGACGCCGTAAGTGGCAGACTCATGAGGATGCTCTCCACCCTGGACCCTGGGGTGTTGAGGCCAAACGCCGTGCCGCGATCGTGGACCAGGTTGAACTCGACGTACTTGCCCCTGCGAATCTGCTGCCACTCCTTCTCCTGCTCAGTGAAGGGCATGTCCTTTCTCTTCTCAATGATGGGCATGTACGCGGGCAGGAAGGACTTGAGGCAGTCCTGTGCAAAAGCAAACGTGTTCTCTCTGTCCTTCTCCGTCTCGTCGAGGTCGTCGAAGAAGATGCCGCCCACACCGCGGCACTCGCCCCTGTGCTTGTTGTAGAAGTATTCGTCACACCATTTCTTGAAGCGAGGGTAGTAGTCCTTGTCGTGGTTGTCACACGCCTCCTTGAGCGTCTTGTGGAAGTGCACGGCGTCCTCGTCGAACAGGTACGCCGGCGTCAGGTCGCTGCCGCCACCGAACCACCATGCATGAGCCGTACCGTCGGGGTGCGACGTCTCAAAGTATCGGTAGTTCAGGTGGACCGTCGGCGCCATGGGGTTCTTGGGGTGCAGCACCATGCTGAGACCAGTCGCGAAGAAGGGGAGCGCGTCAATGTTCTCGTCGAGGTGCATGTTCTTGTGGTTGGCGCGCATCTTGGCGACAGCGGCCTTGGGGAGGGTACCGTAGACAACACTGACGCCGACACCACCCTTCTCGAAGACGTTTCCGTCCTGGAGAACGCAGGTGATGCCGCCGCCACCCTCGGCGCGCTTCCACTCGTCCCTTCGGAACTTGGCGCCGTCGAGCTTCTGCAGCTCCCACACAATCTCGTCCTGCTGCTCTTTGATGAACTTCTCCATTCGCAGGCGCATCGGGGCGTCGCTGGTGACGCCCGCCTCCTTCTTGGTCAGGGCATCGCGCTCGGCAAGGGTAGGGCCGTCGAGTTGGTCGGGTTCCTGAACAGCCTGGGGTAGAGAAAGGTCAGCACCTGGCTCGGGGGAGGATGGCGGAAGGGGATCGGCAGCATGTACCATTTTGTAGCCAAGAGTACCAGCAAGGGACAGGCCGACGGCAGAGATGAGCAAGTAGTTAGGTGTGTACGAAGATATCTGAGCGGTCAATTGGGGTTCGGACGATTTGAATCGAGCACCAAGTCGCAAGGGATATCGGTTCAAGTGCTGTTGCTGTTGCTTCGTGGCGATCCTCGACTGGGCAGAGAGCTGGGTGAAGAGCTTCCGCCCTTGCCACCTGGAGGCCATCGCGAAGGGGATTTAAATACAGACGAAGAATGGGAGCAAACAAAGGTCAATGATCGAACGATGCTATGGTCTCAACATAAGACCACTTTCAAAGTGCAAATGCGGTTGGCCGCTTTCTGATGGGTGCGACTTGAAAACGATCAGCCAGTCGGGTGGGTTGGATTGCAAGAAATCGAATGTTCGAAAGCCGGGAGCCATGCAGAGGGAAGAGCTCGAACGGAGCTGGACCCCTGGGCGACGTGGCTTGGCCCAGGGGCCCTGGACCACCCCAGGCCGCCAGCCTGTGGTTCGGCATTGAATCGGCTGGTGGGATGGTGGGGTGATGAACCGCGGAACTGGGTGACAGGACACAGTCTCGACTGGACGCTAGGTACCTAGGTTCCTAGGTACAGTCACGCGACAAAAAAAACGACGGATTTCCGTTTCCACATAAACACACATGGTTTTCTTGCCTCTATTACTTACTCTAGAGATCACTATAAATAATGATTCTGATAATACTTGTAGAGCTTTACTGAATCTATAGCGCCTGCTATTCAGATTACTAATAGCTATTACAATTATTTTATAATAGTATTTTGAAACTTAAATCGGTATTTCTCATAACAAAAATCCGTCGTTCTTTGTCTCCCCGCTATACCTACCAGGCTGCCAGGGCACAAAGGGGACAGCGTTATTATGTCAGCGTCAACGGGTGCAGGTACAGTACAGTTAGGTAGGTACGTACCGAAAGCACGAATGACCCCTCAGGCATCGTTGATTGCGTCACCGTGTCACGGCCATGAGTCCTGATGGTGTGAGTGCGAGGAGGCAATGAATGACATGCATGCTTCGACATGCATCAAACGGCTTCGAATGTATGCCTCCTCTGCTTCGCTGAATACCCCGTCCAAGGCTAGCAAACGAAAAAAACCTACACTGTGATGCTCCATGATGGCACATCGACACCTCGTCAATGTTATGCTAGATCCCGTGCAGACAGCAGGCGTCCAAACCGGTGACTCCTGCAAGAGTCAGCTGCCTCGTCTTGACGGTTCACGAGCACTCAAAGCCGCCACCCCCCTATGCAATCCTCGGTCCACCAGCGTGGGGCCTGTGCACAATGCGTCGTTCATATCGCTGTCCTCGGGGAGGTTTGGAGGCCTACAGAGGCGTATTTCGTGAAAGAATGCATTCATTCAGTAGACGCTACGAGTCCAGCTGGCAGCCAAGCTTGATAGTACATGTAATTCGGATTCCCATTCCAGCTGCCACAATGGCACCGCTTCGCCAGGCAGCGGTGCTGGTGCTGGTGACCACTCACCGATATCCCCGCACCAGATCGGATCTGGACTAGCTTGGTAATTAGTCACCTGCCAGCCCCGCGCCGCCCGCCTTCCGCCTTCAGTGAACACCGCCCCTTCAGGTCGTCCAGGTCCCAGGCGGCAACCAACCCAACTCTACCTCTCCCCTTCGCAAACGTACCTCTTCTACCTAACCTTCTCTTCTACATCTTTCTCCGATACCCATCTGTCATCACCACGAAATCATATATAAGCCCTTCTGCTTCACCCTTCTCGATCGACGGACCTGTCAACAGCTGCAACGACCCCAACCACAACCGACAGTATGCGATCCAAGTTCAAGGACGAGCACCCCTTCGAGAAGCGTAAGGCTGAGGCCGAGCGCATTCGTCAGAAGTACTCGGACCGTATTCCTGTATGTGGTCTCCTCTCTTCTATTCCTCAGTCGATACGACGAGGCGACGACGTCGTCTTCGTCGCTGTGTCGACCTCCCATGTTATGCATGGGCGGGCATCGTCGGCGTCGGCCATCGACTGATAAGCACCGTCTTATCATCACTGGTGCCCGGCCGCGACGGCCTCCCCTATGATGAAGAAAAGCAAAGCTGACCGCGCTCTCAACAGGTCATCTGCGAGAAGGTGGAAAAGTCCGACATCGCCACCATCGATAAGAAGAAGTATCTGGTGCCCGCGGACCTGACCGTCGGTCAGTTCGTCTACGTCATCCGGAAGCGTATCAAGCTCTCCCCGGAGAAGGCCATTTTCATCTTCGTCGATGAGGTCCTGCCACCCACGGCTGCCTTGATGAGCAGCATCTACGAGGAGCACAAGGACGAGGACGGGTACGTTTCTCCATTCCCCTCATTGCCCAGGTTCAGGGACTAACCATGTTCGAAGCTTCCTCTACATTACCTACTCTGGCGAGAACACCTTCGGCGACTGCGAGACTGCTTGAGCCTCAGAGAGAGCTTCCTTATTGCAGCTGTCCCTCAATTCGGACTATGTCGGCGTTTGGTTTCTCTGGGCACGTTATGAATGGGTTATGGCTTCGCACTTGATTCACTTGTCAGTGCTTCGGGGAAGGGAGATGAAGTAGCCAGTTCTACTCGGATATTTCCTTTCAATACACTCAGATACCTCATCTGCATTGTTCCTGGTGATGTTATGGTACACTGGATGATGTGTTAGCGACACTCTGCTGACGGTCACATGTTACACGTCGCTCGCCGTTCGGCAGCTACTGCCGCTGTGCTGTGCTAAAGCGTGCTACCTGTTCAGATCCTCAAGGTCTGTTGGACATGGCCAGTGTTTGTATTGGACTGGCTGTGATCCAAGTCAGACATCAGGGTGTAAAGGTAGGAACACTGACACCAAACTTTATGGAACTTAGGCTTTCGCTGTGTGAGCCTAAGTTGTCGAGGGGAGTCAAGTTGATGAGTGCGTACTCCAGTGATAGACACGATCGGGAATACAAGATCTGAATAGAGGACGAAGACTACAGAGCAAGACAGACCCCAACTCAAACTCCTTAGCGCCTACGCAATGCTGAGGTTGAAATCGTTCAGGTTCTCACGCTCCCCGGAGCGCTCTCGGTCTCACCCCAGATATCCTTGCTTTCCTGTTCAACGGCTCTCATGCCGACAGCAACCTCTTCCAGCCGAGCAACGACGTCCAACACACCTCGATTGACCCGCTGGAAATACTGATCGTTCGCCTCACGTCGCTTCCTTGCCAGCAGAATGTCGGCCTCGGTCTCCTCCTCGAGCTTAGCGCCTAATCGCTCCGTGCCCATCCCGCTACTCCCGGGCCTTGCGCTGCCCGTTCCCGCCGTGCTGCGGCCGGCATCTGTCCCGTCACCGCTCTTCCCGGTGGTCGTGTCACCCAGGACCGCACTTTTCAGGTTCCTGACCTCGTCGGCGCCAGCCGCCGTGAAAGCGCCGTTATCGCGGTGGCCTACGCCGATGGCATCGTCGGCCTCGCTACGCGCCCAGGCTTGCGCGAGCGAAATCTGCGCAGCCCGTAGGTCCGCCAGTTTACGATCATGATCGGGCCCAAACACATGCGTTCCGCCTGACGCAGAGAGCTCAACCTCCTCGAGAGTGGCTTGCATCTCGGCCCACAAGGCATCTGTCCTGTCGGTGGCGCTGCGGACGCTCTCCTGCTTACCCAGAGCGACGGCCGGCCGGTTGATCGAGGGCGCCGAGACTGTGAGAGAGCCATTCCGCTGGTGTGAGGTCGCTTGCTGCTGAGGTAGAGAAGACACGCCGGCCGAGGTGGTGGCCGCAAGGGGGATTCCTGGGATCGAGACATGCGACGCAGCGGGTGACGGATGGAGGAACAGCGCGGGCGGAGGGTCCCGTTGCTTGCTTTTCGTCCTGTTCAGCGGGGGAGTGCCGCCATTTTGCACATCGCCTGTGACGTCCCAAGCCCGGTCCGACGTCGATGAGCTAGTCACCTTGCTGAAACTCGACTGCATCGCACTGGGAACGGGAGGCGGGGGACTGGGAAGAGGTTCCGGTCGACGATGGGATTGGGGTTGGGTGTCGGCTGCAAGAGTAGCGACGAATCCTTGCCATGATTGGATGACGCACGGCGACCTGAGGGATCCGCACCGTCGACCGACTCTCCGCATCATTGACCCTAGCTTATCTTATCATGCACGTGACCTGCTTCGCCCAAGCCACCCCTCTAGGGTCGTCAAACCCTACAGAATTTCCTTTCGGCTCCGCTACAGCGACGAAAGCTCCCAGTATCCTGACATTTCGCAGCCTACGCCCAGTCACCACCCATCAACCAAGTCATCACCCGCGATACCTCACTAAATCGGTACGTACGCACGCCCTGTCGAACGCCCGTCGCCTCCTCTGCACCGATTGCTCCCGAACGATCGAATTTCTGTCCCTTTTTCATCGCCGCCGCCCCGTCTCGCATCATATCCTCCAACAACAAGGAGGCGGAAAAAAAAAGCACCACACAAAAGAGCAAAGAATCACTAACATCTCGGTGCTGCAGCAACCATGGCTCGTGGACTCAACGCGGCGCGCAAGCTGCGCCTCAACAGGAAGGACCAGCGCTGGGCGGATCTGGGATACAAGAAGCGTGCTCTGGGAACCGCCTTCAAGTCCTCCCCCTTCGGTGGCTCCTCCCACGCCAAGGGCATCGTCCTCGAGAAGGTCGGTGTCGAGGCCAAGCAGCCGAACTCGGCCATCCGAAAGTGTGTTCGTGTTCAGTTGATCAAGAACGGCAAGAAGGTCACCGCTTTCGGTATGATACACCCCACGCTCTGAAGGACGGGAGGGAGATAGAGAGTCGCGCGCCCGCTGGCGTGACCTGGAAAACCTCATCGTTTGCACAAGACATGATTCTAACGCTCTGTCCAGTCCCCAACGACGGTTGCCTCAACTTCGTTGACGAGAACGACGAGGTCCTGCTCGCCGGTTTCGGTCGCAAGGGCAAGGCCAAGGGTGATATCCCCGGTGTCCGCTTCAAGGTCGTCAAGGTTTCCGGTGTTGGTCTGCTCGCCCTGTGGAAGGAGAAGAAGGAGAAGCCCCGTTCGTAAACGGTCGGCTCGCAAGGGCCGTCGCGTGGAAGGAGAAACGGAAAATTTCGGCAACTTGGAGTTCACGCTTTGCATTGGGCATGGATCATTCGGTCACGGTCCTGATACTCTCGGAAGGCAGACATTTGGTCGATGAATGAAACAAGATCATAAACGTCCACCTGCTTGTGGCGAGGTGTCACAATCAACACCAGGCACGGAAATTTTGCTTCTGCACGGCGACGAGACATGATACTGAACGTGCCGTCGATGATGAATGACGAACGAGAGAAGCAGGCGTGGTTATGATGTACAGGTACAACGTGATACATTACAGTCACAAACGTCTTACAGGTCTATCGCATCTATTGCACAATCGCCTTGTTGTCTTCGTCGTCAGCGGCGTACCGCACAGCGTAGTCCATGCCGAGGCCCATGCTGATGACGCCGCCGGTGATCCAGCAGCCGTTGACGAACCACCACCAGCAGTCCTTGACGCTCTTGAGGTTGACGCGCTTGATCATGATGCCGAGCGTCACGAGCGCGCCGCCGCAGCTGCCGACGAAGAAGGCAGGGCCAGCGCCGGCCGCAACGCCTGCGGCGCCGAGCAGGCCAATCTGGACAGCGGCCAGGCCCGTGAGGACCTTTTTCGTGTCGGCGTCGTGCTTGAGGGCGATGCTCTTGATGCCCGCCTTGGCGTCGTCCTTGATGTCCATGTGGGCGTAGATCATGTCGTACAGCACCGTCCAGGCAATGTTGGACGAGTAGAGGCAGGCGGCGGCCGTCAGCGCCGCGCTGTTGGCGAGCAGGTCGACGCCGAGGGCGGGGAAGCCCATGATGGCGCCCCAGGAGAAGGTCAGGCCGAGGACGGCTTGAGGGTAGTAGGTGACGCGCTTGGCGAGGGGGTACGAGGCGACGAAGAGGAGGCTCGGGACGCCGTAGTAGAGGCACTGTAGCGGGAAGGAGAGGAGGATGCCGAGACCCGCGAACAGCTGGGCACCGGTGAAGACGAGAGCGTTGAAAGGCGTGACAGCGCGGCGGGCGATGGGGCGGAAGCGCGTGCGAGTGACGTGGGGGTCGAGGTTGCGGTCCCACAGGTCGTTGATGGTACAGCCGGCGCCGCGCATGATGAGAGCGCCGGAGAAGAAGAGGAAGGTTGTTCCCAGGACGGACAGGGGGCTGGCCATGGGCATGGCCATCGGTGCGGCCATGAGGGTTGAGAAGAGGCAGGGGAAGAAGAGGTAGTAGGTGCCGGTTGGCTTGTCGATACGGATGAGCTCTGCGTAGGGGACCCATGACTTTGGCAGAACAGAAAGGATGCCCGTTGTCGGTGGCGTGTATACGGGCTCAGCCAGGGGAACTGGTGAGCTGTCAGGGGTGACAGCAGTGGTAGCACATCTTGCTGGGGTGAGAGAAACGAGCGCCGGCGGACAGTTCGGGGTCCGCTGAACAATGCTTGTCTGGGGTTTCCTGTATGGCCGTAGTGCCAGACTGACGGGTGTTCTCCCAGACGAAAGTGAAAACGCGCGAGCTTGTAGTCCACGAGCCGCCCATGCTGGGCTCACAGGGAGTCTAACCATTCTCACGACAACACTTATCAATGTCAGTTGCTGGAGGGGAATCTGGCGGAGAAGAGCCACTCACAGTTACCGGTACGTGTACAGAAGGAGAGAACCGTTCATCGCCCCCCAGCCAGACTGATGTGAGCACACGCAAGCCGATGGCGGTTGTGAATTCCAATCGTATATCGCCAAGGTCAGTTTTGGTCAAGAATGTAGATGGTATGGACTTTGCTCATTCGATCCCAAATCGACAAAGTGGTCCGTGCCTACGACTTTGCTGGTTTCCATTCTTATCGTACCTGGCTAATTACCTAGCGACGAACCAAGATATCGCGTAAATCTCGGCACCTTCAAGACATTCAGCTCCTTCACGAGATTCGGCTCCTTCAAGAGTTCCTGAAACTCGACAAGAATTCGGCCAGACATTTTGCAACAATGGTTGACTGATGGATATCAGACTGCTTGCTCTGACCACAGAGCATCCTGTCTTGTTTCGCCCCATCACCGGTTCGGAGCCATGGCAGGGCTCGTTATTCTTCTGGCCATCAGTTATAGCACTGGTCATCGTGAATCCGACAGAATGCAGCACATAAAAGGAAGCCCATGCCCATGCCTTTGGGTGTCACATGACTGCATTGCATGGCAATCGAGAGGGGCTGGTTGCGCCGACGGATGCCTCCCTGGCGAGACTACGCACACCTACAATACGCTGCGCCTCAATCATCGAAGGAACAAGATGGGCGGCTATTGCTGCCGATTGCTGTGCAGCTCCGGACCGTGGCTCCGTACGGGCAACTGAATCCCCGGCTTCTTGGAGTGCTGACCGCCAGAATGAGGCCCACCGCCTCAGGAGAATGAGCTCACGACAGCACCGGTTGCTGGGGTCACGTAAGAAAGGCGCGGCTGGCGGTGGCTTGTAAACAGAGTGTGAAGCAACGCGCCCCGCGGGATTACAGGAACTTTTGTACAAGACTAACATGAAAGAAAGAAGGAATCCTTGGCACCCCCCAGATCGGGGCGACAAATGCTGGGGTACTCTACACACTGCTCATTTCCCCCATGGCCAGCTGGGGAGGCCCTGCGAGGCGGAGCGTGGCTGCTTGGGTGTCGGTGCAGTGCGCTGCCTCAAAGGCTCAAACCGTGCCGCAACTCGGCCGCCGCAGCGCGAAGCAGAGAGGCCTCATCGTGAACATGGGCTCGTAGCAAGTTGCAATATAAAGAGGGGACCTGGCGCCGACGACATCATGACTATGGACTTTGAAGACACACTTCTTCACATTGACCACAGCAAGCACACTGAGAGCATCGGGACACCCTTCGAACTCATTCTCCAATACCAATTTCCTCTATCAATTATTTGCCTAGCCATTACGATGCCTTCTTCCGCTGTCAACCTGTTGACCTTGATCAACGTCGGGCCTCTGACCACCACCTTCACCGCCCCAGAATCTTGTGCGACCAGCGACTTTGGCTTGAGAGGCGCTGCTCCTTCTGGTCTTCCAGCATGGCCATGGGCTGTTGTAGGCGAATGCCGCAACGAGACAGGACCCAGCGACAACGAATGTCTGCCGCTTGGCGAAAAGCGGGATGAACTCTGGACATCGCTCTCCGATGCAGCGGGACCAACGCCAACCGCCGAGGCGAGACTGCCCATCTTCTACAACTCGCCCGGCTACCACTGTCCTTCGGGATGGGAGACGGCCGGGGTGGCGGCTGCCCTCAACGGCTCGGCCAGCGTCACCGGCGCATTCGCTCCGGCGTTCACGGAATTCGGTGAGCCCGAGGGCGCCATGCCGCCGGGCAACTTCCTCGCCAACCAAATCACGTCCGCCCTTGAGCCGCGGGAGACGGCCATCATCTGCTGCCCCAGGTACGTCCACTGCCTCCTCCCTCTCTGAACCCACCGACCTACAAGCACGAAGCCGAGGGCTGACATGACGCGTTCCACACCCGAACAGCGGTCACACGATGAACCTGCAGATGGACACGTGCCACACCAACTTTCCCGTCTCCGAGCTCGCTGGCTCGACCGGCTGCGTGACGAGCTCGACGCCCCTCGCCTCGGGGTCAGCATCCGTAACGGAAATATATCTGACAACAACGACGACGATGACCTGGGACTACCGAGGGACCACCACGACCCAGACCTATTATTTCCCCATCCCCGATCCCGACCAGACGTACGGTGAGCCGTCTACTGCTGCGTACACCTTTGGACCGGAGGGACCAGACGAGGAGTACTACCCAGATGGCCCATGGGTTGGTGTCAAGGGCACACCTGCCGTCATCCTCTTCAACAAGGGCGCTGCCGAGACCAACAGCGCCGCCCCGAGCAGCAGCACCACTGGAGGGAGCACCGACCCGGTCGAAGAGAGCGGTGCGTCGGCGGTGCGCTCTGCGGGCAATTGGGGGGCTGCTGGAGGCGTGATGGCTGTCTGGACCGTCGCGGCTCTGGCTGGCGTCGGGCTGGTTGCTGCCCTGTAAGGATGGTGATTGGTTCAAGACTGGTCAGCACGAGACATGTCCGAGGTTGGAGGATACATAAACGTATGTGTTCTGGTGTTTTTTTCCTGAGCGCAGGAATGGTGCGAGTCCGGATTGCTTTATTTCGATAGATAGCTCATGATTCTCAAAACATCCTGGCCATGGACTATGAGTTCGTTGAGTATGTGATTATGCTGGTGACCAGTGCTACCGCCTGTCGCAACAGCGTGAGTCGGGTTGATCTTTAAGGAATGTTCAAATCCATTTAGGTGAACGAGGTGTCTGCCTCTGGGTCGTCACCTTACGGCGAAGTAACTATCATTCTCAGGTACGTACTTTGAGGTACCTACTTCCCTAAGGTAGGACGAAGGTGCCTACATGGGTACCTAAGGTAAGGTACCTAAGGTAAGGTACCTAAAAGATAAGGTGCGTCTGTACATGGCACCTGAAAAGGTACGCTCTGGGCTAAGGGACCCCTGCTCATGGCTGCACCCCGCCGAACCACCACCGGCGCATTTCCCATTGGTCTTGGGTCTCCCAAGACTCCTGACGCGCCAACGTCAACTGCCACTTTATTCTTTCCCTACGATCGCATTGCAACCTGTCGCAAACAACACCACGATATCAGATCGCCCGATGGAACACCACTCGACGCGTCAATTGTACACGCGAACGCAAACATCTGTGCACAATTGCCACCAGGCGAACCAAATCGTCAGCACATCTAGCCTCCTGTGATGTGGTGATCGCACCACCAGGACGCTCGACGCTCAAGATGCCAACCTCGATGCATCCTCAGGCCAAGTTCGACCCTATATCCCCGGACTTGGACCTCTACGCCTTGGTCGATCGATGCGCCAACTTTGAATGGGTCCTTCGTATCTCGACCCGCCAGATCCGCAATCTGGGCCCCGAAGAGTTTGAGAAGCTGGTGATGCTTCAAGTCATCAACGGCGGCAAACCTCTGGTCATTGAAGGCTGGAATGAAGTCTTGCCCCGCGATATCTTCAGCAGAGACTGGCTCGAGGCGACATACGACAAGAAACGTAGGTCGTCTTTTCGCCTCACCCACTTGGCTTGCGACAGCATGCTGACAGGTGCTACAGAAGAGAATGTTCGCGACATTGGAGCTGGGAACGACATTCCCATGACGACCGGCCATTACCTGCGATCCATGAAACAGCTCGCAAACCAGTGGACCCCAAGCAACTACCGCGATGAGCGCCGACAGCGACTGTATCTCAAGGACATCGACTGCCCCCCCGAATGGCAAGAGCAACTGCAGAAGGTCATTCCGCCAAGCCTCTTCTACATGAATGAGAACATCACGGAGAGAGGAGGCGGAGGCACGCGCAATGATGGCATTTTTGGCGGTGCATCCGAGGCTACCGCTGCTTGCTCTGGAGACCTCATGTCCAGCCTCCCCGAGGAGATGAGGGCGCAGAACCTCATGTGCTACATCGGCCACGAGGGCACGTATACACCCGCCCACAGAGAAATGTGCGCCAGTCTGGGACAAAACATCATGGTCGAAGCTTCTAGCGACGAAAACGGAGAAAAGCCAGGAAGCTCCATCTGGTTCATGACCGAGACCAAGGACCGCGAGGTTGTCCGGGAGTACTTTCTCTCCATGCTGGGCCACGACGTTGAGATTGAGAAGCATTTTGCCCAGATCAATGCATGGAAGAAGGCCACCTTTCCGGTCTACATCGTTGACCAGAGACCAGGCGATTTCATCCTCATCCCGCCCCTCGCACCACACCAGGTCTGGAACCGTGGCACGCGCACGATGAAGGTCGCCTGGAACAGGACAACCGCCGAGACCCTCGACCTGGCCCTGCACGAGGCCCTACCCAAGGCCCGACTTGTCTGCCGCGACGAGCAGTACAAAAACAAGGCCATCATTTACTACACCCTCAAAAAGTATCACAAACAGCTGCAGGAGGCAGAGGAAAAGAACGAGATGAGCATGATGGGTTTCGAAGGCTTTGGTCAGGAGCTCTTCCGTTCCTCTCCGCGCTTCCAACAATTGACCCGCGACTTCCGACATCTTTTCGGCCTGTTCGCGGAAATCATGGCGGACGAAATGTTTGCGACAAAAGAGCAAGCCGTCGAATTTGTCGAGTTCGACTCATGCGTCATCTGCTCCTACTGCCGCTGCAATATCTTCAACCGCTTCCTAACCTGCAAAAGTTGCGTGAGGACCCTCATCACGGGTGACGAGGATGCCTACGATGTCTGCATGGGATGCTATGCCATGGGACGATCTTGCATGTGCCAATCTGGTTTGACGTGGTGTGAGCAGTTTGACTGGAACACTCTGGTGACTGACTACGAAACGTTTCGGACCATGGTCATCAAGAACGACGGATTTGTCGACATGGAGCTGTCTCCGCAGCCTCTCGAGGTTGCAAGAACCCGCCAGGGCAAAAAGTCAACAGCGCAGATCTGTCAGGAAGCACTCAAGCGACGCCCTTTCAAGGATATTTCGCAACCAGAGGTAGAGATTGTACCGAGCGAGTCGGAACAGGAACCAGACCTCGACGATGAGGGCCGGCCAAAGAAGAAGAAGAAAAAGTACAAGCGAAAGGCCAAGAAGGGTGATCTCAAGCGATGCCATGTGTGCTGCCACAAGGATTACGCCTACCGCGTCCACGACTGCAGCAATCCCCAGTGCAAGGAGAGCTACTGCTACGGCGTACTCTATCGTGCTTTCGACATGATGCCGCAAACAGTGCTGGAGAACGAGAATTGGCTGTGTCCCAAGTGTTTGGGCATCTGCAATTGTGGTGCGTGCCGGCGCGCTCAGCTCGGCGACCCGTACATGCCCAAGAACACTCTTCTCGGCCACGATACCAAGGCTGTCGCCGATGACCGAAGTATCGAACTACTTGTCGACTTTAGGGTCCACAACTTGAACTGGCTCAAGGCCATGGGTGAAG